CCCGGCACGCACACTATGGCACTTCGTCCTTCCTCTGTTCCACAGCGTGTTCCCCTGCCGTCTCCTCCTGCGTCTTCTCTGTCTGACGTTCCGGACCCTGAGTCTGACCTCGTTCGTGCTGCTCACCCTACTGGCACGCGTCTGCTAGCCAGTGTTGTCACTCACCCGTCGTTTGAGTCTGCTGCTGCGTCTGCCTTAGTCTCTGAGCTTGTTGGCTTTGCTGCTGCCTGTCGTGTAGACTTCGCTGCTAGTCTTGTTGCTGATTCTGAGTCTGTCTGTCCTCCGTCCGTCGGGGGTGAGTGTGCTCTTGGCACGGACGTCCTTGAGGACAGGCAGGAGGACTTTGAGTGTCTTGCAGCCGCTGCGACTCATCTCGTGGCCATGCTGTTTGCCCCTGAGGGAGACCCGGATGCTCCAGACATCCCAACCCCGCGCTCTTACGCTGAGGCGATCGCGGGTGAGTACTCCTCTCAGTGGCAGACAGCCATGGACGCAGAGGTGGCATCCTGGAAGTCCACAGGCACTTACGTCGACGCAGTTCCCCCTCCTGGGGCGAACGTAGTCGATGGCATGTGGATTTTCAGGGTGAAGCGGCCGCCGGGTTCTCCACCTGTCTTCAAGGCTCGTTACGTTGCACGAGGCTTCAGTCAGCGACAGGGAGTTGACTTCTTCTTGACCTTCTCCCCCACCCCGAAGATGACCACTCTTCGGGTGCTGCTGCACGTTGCCGCTCAGCGTGACAACGAGCTTCACTCTCTTGACTTCAGCACAACGTTCTTACAGGGCAGACTGCACGAGGAGATCTGGCTGCGCCGCCCACCTGGCTTCACTGGGTCGTTCCCTCCTGGTACCCAGTGGAGCCTCCGCCGGCCGGTCTACGGTCTCCGTCAGGCGCCTCGCGAGTGGCACGACACACTGAGGACGACACTTGCGGCTCTTGGGTTTGCACCTTCCACTGCTGACCCGTCGCTGTTTCTGCGCACCGACACTTCGTTGCCGCCGTTCTACATCCTCGTGTACGTCGACGACTTGGACTTTGCCACTGCTGACACTGAGGCTTTCGCCCTTGTGAAGTCAGAGCTGCAAAAGAGACACACGTGCACAGACCTGGGTGAGCTGCGCAGCTACCTTGGCTTGCAGATCACCCGGGACAGAGCACGGCGCACCATCACACTGACTCAGTCACACATGGTGCAGCAGGGCCTTCAGCGCTTCGGCTTCACTTGGTCCTCGCCACAGTCCACTTCCTTGGCTACATGTCACTCGCTCTCAGCTCCACCTTCTGACGAGTCCGTAGAGCCGAGTGGTCCATACCTAGAGCTAGTGGGCTGCCTCATGTACCTGATGACCTGCACTCGTCCTGACCTTGCGTGCCCTCTTGGCCTTCTGGCACGCTACGTGGCTCCTGGTAGGCACCGAAAGGTGCACTTTGGTTGTACTGTTATCTATATATATAAATATATATATATATATATACCTGCATGTTTACTCTTGCTAGGTAGTGATCATTGTACTGTTGTTGTTGCATATATACCTCTGCATGTGAACTGGCCTTGTGACCCTTTTCTTGTGATCGGAGTGTGTGGTGACGTTGTGATCCACCCTGAGCTTGCTTTGCTTTTCTTGACTGGTCCTGTGACCCCTTGTTCTCCCTCACTTTGCCTATGGGGGTGTGTCAAACTATATCTGTGCTAGTTCTATGTAAGCTATAGTGGGGTAGCACATATGGGGTACAACCCAATGTTAGGGTTAGTACTTGTACCCACAGCTCATTCAATGCAATCATTCCTACTCATTAGTTTCTAGCAGGTGTGGACGATGAAGTGGATGTTATTTGGATGATGGTTTGGATGCTGCCTGCTTTTCTCAATGCTCGTTTACACTAAGTCGTAGCCACCACTCTCATCGCTGCATGACAAAGCAAAAGTGGGAATGGGGGCTTGTTTGGTCCGCAAAGCTCAAGTTTGGCGTCAATGAACGACATGTCAAGGCCCTGCATCTGCTACACTCTAATGCAAACCGAATGCGCCTCGTTTCTTTTGAGCCGACTAAAAAGAAATTGCATATTTGCATGTCAAGGCCCTGCACCTGCTACGTTGTTATGCATCAATGCCGAATGTCGCCTCCCTTCTGTGCCATGCTGCCCAAACTCTTGACCCATAACGTATGAGCCACGTGGGTGTCTTTCCCTTGCTTGATGTGTGTGTGTCGACGTGGAAGGTGTTGCTCTGTTTTACGTGTATGTGTGTCCGTGCACGTGATGTATAATTGTGTAGTTAAATATTGGTGGTCCGTACTGTTGGGTGCTGACATACATGCGGCTGTCAAGCCATGCCTTTTCCTACACAACCTCAATATGCATATGTGAATGCGCTATTGTAGTTTTCACCCATTGCGTTTCCCATAAAAAAATTAAGACGCGGCATCATGTATTTTGGTCATCAGAATATAATTATGGAATGGTTGGAATTCTGTTTGTATGTCTAGAATAGACGCCTGATGCAGGATGATGTTGCTAATAGCGCATACTGAGTTTTTTCTGGAAGCTCACGCTGCCGTTACAACAAGAAGAACATACTGTACAGGTGTCAGTGGCTGACAGATTTGAATCCTGACGACTGGAAAATCGCTGATGAGGGGGAGCAGCCGCGCTGCTCACATCGCACGGTCTGGAATGGCTTCGGACTGATTCGTCATTGGCCTGCGAGTGAGAACAGATTTCACGATTTCTTGCTTGGACTGTAACCAGATTGCACTTTGGCAGGTGACGGTGTGTCGTTAGCGTTGCGAGGGGCGCAGCCTAACCCAACTAGAATGGTTTGGCAAGCCAGGCACAGGTGTGGAGACGGACCAGACACTGTTTACCACAGGTCAGGGACTGTCTGTTCAAACGAAATAGCATGGGCTGGTGAGAAGCGTCGCGGAGAATCTGGAACGTACAATATTCTCCATCGACGGTTGATATGCATGAAAACAAGACAAGAAATCCATTGCTGCACACATAAAATTTAGGGGTTCAATGCCCGTTATAGATTCACGCTACGTGATTGGTATGATGGGTGATGCTGCTGCTGCCCGTGATGCGCAAAGAAAAATCGAGGTCCGAGGGACCTGCGCGCGTTGCTTGCTGCCTTGGTGGTGGCCTGCCCTGCCTCAGGCGGTACTGTAGCAATGACGGATGGTGGTGGGCGGGGGGAAACAACTGAAAAGGGAGGAATCTAGGAGCACCCCCAGTCGCGGCGCCGGATGGAAACAATACGGTTCTGATATGCATCATCGTGTTACAGAGGCTTACATATCGGTAGCGGAATGTATAATGTCAAGATGCGTTTCTCGATCTTCGCGCACCGTTTGCCTTACTGCGAGGTCCTGAACCCGAAAAGCACGTTACAGAGAGTTACGGATCGGTTTGAAAGAACGATAGGTGTGGGGATGTGTGGAGGTGTCTCGATATTTCTCTGGTGGGTAGGCGATGGTGAGGTGAGGTGATGCAAGGTGGAGGAGGAGGCAGACTACTGTACACAAGGTGGGACGGTCGGGAGGATGTCTAGTCCTCCTCGGGAACATCGGATCCCGCCCATTTCTTGAGGGCCACGGGAATATCCGAGCCAACCCACCTATTCCTCTCATGACTCATCTCTAATCAGAGTTCTCCCATGCCATCTTTGCCTCTCTCCTCCCTACCAAAGCAATACTCTCCATTCGTTTTTGCCTTGTAGTCTGTAGCTGGCATTACCTCGCGTCAAGCTCCCAAATTTCTACCTGCATCAAGAGCCTCAATAGCGCCGTTTGGTCAACCAGCGGAATATCGAACTTAGACATTCAATTAGTATACAAGCGTGCTCTCTACCAAACTCCAACCGTCAGGCCAGACGTCTCAAAAGGCTCCGACCGTCAAGCCAGACGCCTCAAAAGACTCCAACCGTCAAGCCAGACGTCTAAAAGACGCTCTTCCTGTCAAGCTCCACTCCTCTTTTCAGACGTCTCAAGAGGCTCCAACCGTCAGAACAATGATGGCGATATCATCGGAGCGCGAATCCTCCCGTTTTAAGAATTTGATATCAAATTTCCGCAAAGAACGCGGAGCGCGACGCGAAAGGGAACCGTCTCTTTGCTTGATCAAGTCCCACTCCCTCCAACCGGGCTTCGAACTCTCCCGCCTTGGCGAAAGCGGCAACGTGATTTCGTTCACTCCCCGTCCGCCGCTAGAGCTTTCGCAGACCGCTCCTGGTGTGGTGGCGAACGGAGGAGCCGGCGAACCAGCCCAGGTGGTAACCCGTCAGTCGAAAGCAGCTGAGAATCATCGCCGACAGCAGAGTTGTGGAGGACACGGCCCAACCGGCAATGATGATGTTTACAAGTTGACTATTTTGACGGCGACGAAGGAACAGCCGTTATCGTGTGACGACTCGGCTAGAGCAGCCGCGGCGCCCTGGGGTGGTGAGTACATCGAAGCGTTTCGATTGGCTCGTGTACAAGACCACCCGAGAGACCACCTGAAGGACCACCTGAAGGATGAACAGTGCCAGGAAGATGAACAACAGTGTCGCGCAGTCGAGGCTTTCGGCACGCTAGAGATCTCCGTTGTACCTGGTCAGGTTCAGGAGAATTTGCAGGGTGAAGCGGGGATCACGGCGAAATGCGATCCAGGAACGACAGTTGCGGATACTGCTGATTTGATTGAATTGCCCGATTCCGTAATGGTAAATCCAGAAATTACCCTCTCTGTGGGCAGCGAATCCCCGGCAGTCAGCAACGGAGATCCGCCCGCGGATTGCGGAGTTGCCAAGAGCGGTGGATGGGGAGGGAATGCGCGCAGAAGCGACAGGGATGCCGATGGGGAGACGAGGACCGGTGTCGCGGAGGCGAGGGGGAATTGCGCAGGCGAGAGCGGAGAAGAGGCGGCGGAAGGGGGTGCGCGGAGCAGCGGCTGGGAGGAGGGGGACGCGAAGGCAGCAAAGGAAGCGGGTGCGGAGGTTGGCGAGACGGACAGTGGCGGCCTAGAGTGTAAAACGCGGGCGCGTTTCAGAGGGCGGGTGAGCCTCCCCCAGCTGAACCTGCGCCTGGCTGCCCTGCCGCTGCTTCGGCCAGAAATCACGGGCAGCCCGAAAACAAAAGAGCAGGAGGAGGCAGCCCTGTGGACGGAGGAGTCTGGGATAGAGGGAGGGGAGGGGCAGCAGGGGCGGAGAGGGGAAGGCGGAACTTATGAATCTGCGGAGGAGGGAAAGGCGGACGAATTCGCGGAGAGGGGGGTTGAAAGTTGCCCGGCGCGGATTGGCCCTCCGTCGTCTTCGTTATTATCACCATCCGTTAGAAGGCCGTCGCAGTCAACGCCCCACACTCCCCAGGGGAGCGAAACCGAGAGGCATCGCCTCCGCGCTGGTTTCGGGCGGGACGCCCGTTCGTCTCACGGAGACGGCCGTTTATCTCACGGAGACGGCCGTTCATACCAAGGGGACGGCCGTTCGTCTCACGGAGACGGCCGTTCATCCCAAGGGGACAGCCGTCTGAGTCGTCTCAAAAGTCGGGACGGGCTGGGGCAGGACCTCGAGGCGGGACGCGCCCGGAACCAGCGCGGAGCCGATGCGCTGGGGCAGGACCTCGAGGCGGAGGGGGGGGCAGGGGGGAATGCGCAGTCGGGCAGGCGGGGAGGGGGCGCGGGGGGTGCGCGCGGAGCAGCGCGGGGGCGATGGGGGCGGAACCGGCGCACTGAGAGCTGCTTTGCGGGGGGCTCGGGGAATGACGCGGGGTGCTTGACCTCCGCTTCCTCCTCCTCCTCCTCCTCCTCCTCCTCCTCCTCCTCCTCCTCCTCCTCCTCCTCCTCCTCCTCCTCCTCCTCCTCCTCCTCCTCCTCCTCCTCAACCTCCTCCTCATCCTCTTCCGCTTCCGCATCCCGTTCCCCTTCCGACTCCTCCCCTTCCACGACTACGTCTGCCTCCCCTCCTGCCACCACCACTGCTTCCACTTCTCTCAATGCTTCCACCCCTCCCGCCCCTTCATTTGTCGCCATCACGTCAGCAGCAGCAGCAGCAGCGGCCGTGGCAACAGCTTCGTACATTCTGAGGCACGACTCGCTCACTGCTGCTTCTCTTCTCGACCTCGTCCCGCTCACAGCCTGCGATGCCTTCTTTCCCGCTGATACACCCCATGCGACCACTGCTGCTGCTGCTTCTGCTGCGACTGCGACTGCCGCTGCTGCTCCTGCTGTCGATCACTATGCTTCAGCAGATTCCGCGGCAGCCGCTAATGCAGCTGCATCTGCTGCTGCAACTCCTGGTGTTGCTGCGGTGGCCGCGGCCCCTGACTCTGCCCCAGCCGCTGCTGCTGCTGGAGACGATGGGAGTGGAGGGGAGAGGCGTGTTGAGTCCCCTCGGACAGCAAACGAGCCCTTGTTGGTACGTGAGCAGGCAGACACGGCAGGGGACGGGGAGGAAGTCGATACAGGGGGTGCCGAGTGTAGAGGGGGCAGAGAAATCACGGAGAGCAGAGAGAGGAGAGAGGGCATAGAGGGCGGAGAGATCACAGAGAGGGACGCTTTGAAATCCAAGGAAAGTCAGGGCAGCAGTGCCACTGGGAGAAGCAATGGTTGTGAGAGCAGCAATGGTACTGTGGGCAGCAACGCCAAGAGCCGCTTTAAGGTCCGGAGCAGGAAGCCTGGAAGCTTCAGCAAGGCCCACCGCCGCGCCTCCAGCTCTGGTTCGGCGTTTGGCTCGGCAGCAGGCGAGGAAGCAGCAGAGCAGGTACCCTCGTCTGGGCACTTGCCTCCGAGCCACGGCGGTTCGGGGTGCAGTTCAAAGGCTCCCCCGCACGGGCCTATCACAGGTCGCCACGTGGCTGGGTCAGGTTCAGCTGGGGAAGGCTGTCAGGGGTGTGGGGATTGCAAACAGCCTGAGGAGTCTCAGGGGTGCGAGGGTTCCCATTCCCAGGGGTCCCGTGCACCGTCAAGACCCCGGGCGCCGTTAAGACCCCGTGCACCGTCAAGACCCCGGGCGCCGTTACGATCAGCCTACAGTGCCAGGCGGAGGGCACTGGAGCGAGTGTCCATGCTGGAGCGAGCCGGCACAGAGATTGAGCTGGCGGGGGAGACGATGGCGTATATCTGGACGCACACGCCCTCCCTGCAGCGGTCACTCCGCCGCTCCAACTCGTGCGGTGAGCTTGCCTCGGGGCACCATGAGCATCTGGGAGTAGAGGTTGGTGGGGAGGGGCGGCGGAAGGGGGCTGGGGAAGAGATTGGGGAGGGGGTTCGGGGGAGTGGGGGTGCAGGGGGATGGAGGAAGGGGAGTGGGAGTGGGGGAGGGTGGGGGAAGGGGAGTGGAAGTGGGGGAGGATGGGTCAATGGCAGGAGGGGAGGCGGGATTGCAGAGGCAGCAGAGGCAGCGGATCCTGCAGCTGCGGGGGTAAGAGGGTGGGGTAGGAAGGGGGGGGTGTGGGGAGGGTTTTTTTCCGGGCAGCTGGGGCAAACACCGGGTGGGTTTTGGGGGGGAGATGAGCAGCAGCAGAGGCGGGGGGGTGGGGAGGAAGAGGACAGTGATGACAGCGACGATTTCCTGCCGCCCGGTTTCTCGGCGCCGCTTGTGTACAGTGCGTATGAGGGACGTGCGCCTTACCTCCCCGAGCCTCCTCTAGACGCTCGGGAGGCTCTGGAGGATCGGGAGCATGGCACTGCGCAAGCTTCTTCTGTGGTTGGGCAAAATGAGAACCCCTTGGAAGCTGGTGAATCTGCTAGACTAGGAACCGCAGTAGCAGTAGAAGCAGCGGCAGCGGCAGCAGCAGCAGCAGCTCCAGATGCAATCAACAGTGTGGGAGAAGGAGCGGAAGGAGCTGCTGTGGTGGCGGAGGATGCGGCATTGCCTGCTGCAGAGTCGGGTCCATCGGTGAAGCCCAGCAGTGGGAGAATCCCGAGCCATGGGGGTATACCCACACGCCAGCGCAGCTCGGCCAATCACAGCACCGCGACACGCGGGCAGGGGAGCAGCTTCAGCAACATCAGCAGCACCAGCCCCAGCAGCAGCAGCAGCAGCAGCAGCAGCAGCTCTCAGCCGTCGTTCCGGCCGTACGGCATGCCACCGCAGCGGGCGGCCGGCCGGCACAACAACAAGCCCTGCAGTCAGCCATCTCGCAGTGACATCCAAGAACAATCCTCTCGCTCTGACATCCGGAAGCCGTCTCGTGCTGACACTCAGAAGCCGCCTCCCGCCGACATCCAGCGGCGCCTCGTGTCGATTTCTGACCCCCGCGACCTGCCCTTCAGAGCGCCTGTCGCTGCCTCTGTCACCACCCTCCCGTCCTTTGCAGATTACCGTGCGAAACTGGCCCTGGAGAAAGGTGGGGGTGCGGGTGGTGTTGGTGTTGGTGGTGCGGGTGGGAGTGGGGAAGGGGTTAAGGGTTTGGAGGGGTTGGTTGGGAGGAAGAGGGGCAAAGGCCGTGGGTTGAGGAGGGAAGGGAGTGGTGAGTGCGAGAAGGGGAGGGTGGGAAGGGGGGATAAGGGGAAGGTGGAGAAGCAAATGGGGGACAAGGAGAAGGGGGGTATGGAGAATGGGGCCACGGGAAAGGGAGATATGAGAAAGGGGGATAAGGGCAAGGTGGGAGAGAGGAGGAGGCACCATGTAAGAAGCTTCTTGCTTCCTGAAACTGTAAGCGAGCACGCAGAGGGGGAGAGCGGCGGGGTGGAGCCATCTGCTTATGAGGCGTCTCGGGAACAAGCAGAGGGAGAGAAGAGTGGAATGGAGGCAGAAGCTGCTATTGGGGCGTCTCGGGAACAGGCAGAGGGGGCGAGCAGTGGAGAGGAGGAAGAAGGTGCTACTGCTGATGCCCTGCAGGGCCGCAGTGGGCCATCTGACTGCCTGGGGGGAGAAGCTCAGTCAGAAGCTGCTACTGAGACCCTCCAGGGCCACGTTGCAGGGCTCGGGACTCAATTGTGATTGTAGTCACAGTCACAGTCGCAACTGATTGCGATTGCATAAGTCCTGGTCTCACTCCGACTCGGTCTGACTCTCAGTCTCAGTCTCAGTCTCAGTCTGAGTTGCAGCCGCAGTGTAGGAAGGCGGGTGTGAAACCAGGAGTCAAGTGTGACAGGCATGGGCGGCAAACAGAATGGAGAATAAGAAATGGACGGGCTTTTGTGTCTGACACACAAGTCACCTTGAGAGGAAAGGGTGGAAGGGGTGGATGCATGTAGTATTCTTGTCCCAGCTGTCAACACGAGGGAACCGTGTTGTGGGTTGAGCTCCAGTTTTTGAAGGGAGGAGCTATGGCTGTGATCTGAGGCTTGTGGGTTGTGGTGTTGCCATTCGTTTTTTCCATGTTGCGATAAAGCAGGCTTCACTTTAGTTTAAATTTAGTGTTGAGCACGTACGTAAAGTGGAAGGGTACCCTAGAATGTCAATGTGACCGAATGCGTCACACGTTTCCTTAAAGCTGCGGTCTACATACGAAAATGTATTTTCGGGGGGTATTTTGGGTGCACACCCTAGGACGCATGCTGATTGGGGAACGAAATGACTCTTTTCCAGAAATGAGCGGGCGAATGTTTCAAACAGAACTGGCGAATCCCGCCAGTTTCGTGAAAGGTTCGGTTGGGGGGTAATTATTTCGGGAGGATTGGGTTGTGTTGGCGATTTCGCCAACACGTGCAACCAACCCGAGTTGGGGAGCAGAATGGCGCGAAATTTAGAAGCCAATCCTGTTTCGCCCAATTTTCAGAGGAAAGGTTGTGCTGTCAGGGTGCAGTAACTCAACCTCGCCACTCAAGGTTGGAGCGAAGCTCAGTGCAACCGTGTTTTCAAGTGATAAACCTAGGCCTCCCACAGGAGGTATGTAGGCGACAGCTTTAAAAGTACTTTGCTCTATCGAATGTGCATTCAATTTTATTTGAACCATCTGTCAGTATCCACAGAAACCTCTCAACCAAGAGAACAGCACAGGTGTGGAGTTATAACAAGTATCGTCCCGTTAAAGCACGTTTCCACCGAAGTTGTTAAATTGCCAAAACTGTAAATTTTGGCTGTTAAAGCCCGAGTCCCAAATTGCGAGGCGAGTGGATCATGCTTTTAAAGCTTTCGTATACATTTGCAAGTACTGTTCACGGTTGTACATTATCCCAATAAAATTCGCTCAAACGAAACCAAATGAGGGTGGCGAGAGGTTTTGCGAAAACTTGCACCTTTGAGGGTTCCAAACACGGGAAACTCCCCCGTCACCCAACCTTGCAGTGACTCACCAGCCGAAGCATGATAAGCGACTAACTAGCACAGATAGAGGAACCGAGGCCTCGACGGGTTGCATCACGACGCTGGGTCGCCGCACTCGAGTAAGCCGTCACGCGATTGATAATTGAAGGGTCGTGTTCACTGGGCGGATGCGCGTTTCATGCGTTGGCCACGCCGCCACTCTCAACACTCGCTAGGTAGGCCTCTCCCGCTTGGCTCCTCACCCGCTGCGCGCCTTTCCCACTTAGCGCCTCACCCGATGCGCACCATGACCCTTTATCGCCGAACCCGCTGCGGCGCCTCAGCCCTTAGGGCGTGTGACATTTTTCCTTTGTTTTGTCCGGACGTCCAGCCGTTCGGACGGTTGTGTGGTTACCAGAATCCTTCCAGCTCGCCAGCTAGCTCGTCCAGAATCGAAACGACGTCGCATGTGTCGCCTCGCGTCCTTACCACGTCGCAAAGCGACCGTACGATGTCGCCAGCTTTGCAAGCGTTCGGACGTACGTCGCACAACGTCCGGACTTTCTGCGATTTTGAAAAATGTCACACGCCGTTAGCGCCGAACCCGCGGCACGCCTCAGCCCTTAGCTGTCCATCCTCCCTCTCATCACCCCCCTTCTCTCCCTCATTTCCCCCCGTTCTCCCCCTCATTTCCCCCTCTTCTCCCCCTCATTTCCCCCCGTTCTCCCCCTCATTTCCCCCCCTTCTCCCCCTCATTTCCCCCCGTTATCCCCCTCATTTCCACCCCTTCTCCCCCTCATTTCCCCCCCTTCTCCCCCTCATTTCCCCCCACTCTCCCTCTCATCTACCCCTCTGCTCCCCTTCATTTCTGCCCTGGCTCCTTCTCAGCCCCCACCCTCTCTCACCATCATTCCTCCCCCTGCTCCCCCTCATTTCCCCCCGTTCTCTCCCACATGTTCTCCCATGTCCCGGCTAGGCCACAAGCAGCGGTTTGATGCGGCGCGACGAGAGTGGTAGGCGGAGGGATGCCGCGTTTGAAAGCTATCGGGCGCGGCTAGTGCTGTTTCAATGTCGAACGCGTGTGATGCGGGAGAGGCGAGTGTGAGAGGGCGGAACTGGCGTTGGTGCGGACGCGTAATGACTCTATACTTCTAGTTACGTCGCTGTTTGTGTCGGAAACGGGGTTCTTTGCGCTGGTTGTTGAATCGCGATCTGCTTATCTACGTGGTTTTCGGCCTATCGTGCGTAGTGGCCTAGTTCTGAGAAACATGGTAATTTGTATCCTTTTGTTGTTTCAAAAGTTTTGAACCAGCAGTCAGAGGAGATGGTGCGGGGTGTCGGGGGGATCATCTCCCTTGTGGGACGAGGGAAATGAGCTGTAATAGGGTAACCAGTTTTCAAATTTCAAAACTTCTGAAACTCCCACTTTCAAATGTATACAAAAGCTTTAAAACTTGATGAAGTGCAGTGTGCAAGCTTTGAAAAGCAGCGCACCTGCAATTTGGGACTTTCGGGTGCTGACACAACCCCCAGGGCGAAATACGTGGGTTGGCTGGGTTAGGCGAAAAAAGCGAAATGCCCGAAGTCGGAATCACTCGCCAAAACCCAAACCAGAAAAAACCCCTCGCGTCATCCTTTTAAAGCCAGGATCTCAAGTAGTTCAATTGTTTTGCAGTTGGTGAGGGGAGCTGGGCTGCGATTGGTTAGCGAGGTGAACAATCTGACGAGGTGTGAAGCAAGGGGTGCGAAGTAAAGACAAATCGCAAGTTCAGTCCGAACCAAGCAAGGCTCGGAAACTGGTTCGGTGACGAAGCTCCAATGCCTGCAATTTCTCGTCACACACAACAATCTCATGTACCAGCAAAATGTTTTGCATTTGCTCTAGGGGCAAAATCGTGGGTGTGCCGCACGCTCACTTTCCTAACCAGCCAGTCAATTCGCCTACAAAAATAGGGTAACAAGCGCTGCAAGTGTTTTGCAATTGAAGGCCAATTCTCTTACTTGAGATCCTGGCTTTAAAACTTGTGCAATTTGGGCTTCCGGCTTTAAAGAGTCGACTCTGATTCGGCCACCTCGTCGTTGTTCGCGAAAAATATGACGACCATTTGGTCGTCGAAAATTCGGCCACACCCTAATTTCGGAATTGTGTGGCCACGCCCTAAGGGTCTGTAAATAAATCTCCGTCGTACAGCCTGTCTCGAAGCTGTCAGGCTGGGAGGGGTGGGCTACAACTGATGTCGTATTTATAGCGTGATAGATGCCGACCGTTTCCTATTGGTCATAACGCAACCATCGAATCAATGTGCTCCATGTCTGCTGGGCTTCACCCTGCCCAACTCCGTTTCAGTGTGTACTCCAAGATCCCCGCGTGTTTGTAACGATTTTGTCTGGCGCGTTGCGTTCCAGAACGGTAACGCGGTGGGACAGCTTTGAAACGTGTGAAAACCACCGAAGCGCACTAGAAATCTAGAGGATGAACGTGACGCTAAAAAAGGGCACCTGCCTGCCATTGGTTTTCGTCTAATGCGTGGAACCCTGTTTAAACGTTATAAAGTTAGTGTATACCTTTCGAAAACGCACACCACCGCATGATCACATCACATGTTTTCATCACTCTGACACGTCCCTGATGATTCGTTTTCCCGCTTCCACCCCCCCAACCAAGCAGCAAGGACAGCGCAATAAACATGGCAGCGGGTTGGGGGGTCCGCATCAACCTCCCCTCAACCGTACTGCATCGGTGCTATATGTTTTTACAAACCCATGGACAGAGCCACCACGAGGGTGATTTCCATCCGCGTCAGCAAACCACGTGGTAGGATGGGATGGAAGTTGGGGTAGCGTTGTGGAGAGAAGGCAGGTACTGTAGTAGTACTGGCACGCAAACGCAGGAAGTGAGGGCACATCAGAAGAAGCACGCACGCAGCGAGGGTGCTAGCATCCAGCAATCCTGTTTCGCAGCATTCGTTCGTCCGCTCGTTCATTCGTTCGTTCGTTCGTGCTCCCAGATTATACGTGCTGATTCGTCGCTCATTATTCGCACACTGTTTGCTCGTTTCCCTAGTCGCGTCGCGTGCTTATCAAGGATGCATTGCATCTGGACAGGCCAAACGACGGGAGAGTTAACTTAACGTCAAAGCTGCCAGCCTTTTAACCGCGTGGCGTGTCGGGCTGTTCGCGTTCGCGTCGCCGTTGGCGAGACTCGCGATTCGACCGTCGGCGGCAACGGCTACTTGTGAACGCGCCTCTGCAAGTTACCGCGCTTCTCTCCCGCCCTCCCTCCCCTCCTACCCCCACTTTCCCCCCTCTCTCGCTCCCCTTCCCCCTCCCCCTCCACATCCCCCTTCCCCACCTCTCGACCTTCCCTTCCCCCTTCCCTTCCCCGCGAAATACGGAGAGCCATCATGAGCGAGTCGGCGGTTCTTGCGCGGGACGCCCATCCCTCTCCCACCTGCATGCCGCGCCTCCCCTGCCTTTCCCCCGCTTCCGCTTCCGCCAAGCATGCCGCCGCCGCCGCCGCCGCGCCCCTCCTTTCCCCCGAAGGCCCCGGCGGGCAACCCGATTCGAGCGCGACGGAAGAGGGGAAGAGCGCAGAAGCGCAGCGCGCGTGCCGCGTGAGCGTGGCGGTTCTGGCGGTGAAAGACTTGAAGGATGGGGCGATTAAGGACGTCATCGACGCGGCGCGGCAGGCTGCGAATCTTCTGCAAGTGCCGACTATGGCGCTGATTAAAGTGGAAAACTCGCACTTTTGCACCAAGGAGATAAAGGGGAAGTTGGCGGAGGGTAAGGGGAAGGCGGGGGAGAAGGGGGGGAAAAAGGGCAAGGGGGAGGATGGAAAAGGGGGAGCGGCGGATGGGGAAGTGCAAGCGGAAGCGCAGACGGTTGAAGCGCAAGCGGAAACGCAGGGGGAAGTGCATTCGGGGGAAGCGCAAGCCGCGGAAGGGCAGGCGGAAGGGCTGATAGAAGTCAACCAGGGGCACGCGTTCACAGTAAAAGACGAAACCACCGCGACCGTGTCCGTCGCGCTCGTGCACTGCGCGCTGGGGCGCGGCGCGGTGGCGATCGGGCTGAAGCAGGTGGTCGGCGCCATCGAGCCGCTCTCCGTCGCGTCGCTGCTCGAGCTCGATCCGGATAAGGCGGTCGAGCCGCGGTGGTACGACCTCCGCGCGCCCACGGGGAAGAAGGGCGCGGTCGTGGGGCGGGTTCTGCTGCAGGCGGTGGCGGCGCGCGCGCCTCCGGAGCAGCGCGTGTCGCTTTTCATCGGCTCCTGGAACGTGGGAAACGCGCCGCCCGCGGCGGATCTCTCCCCGTGGCTCCCCGTGAGCGGCAGACACGATCTGATCGCGATCGGATCGCAGGAGTGCGAGTACGCGCCGCGCGCGGGGCATGCCACGTGTATGGACGACTGGGTGGCGTGTATCCGGACGCATTTCGGCCCCAGATACCGCCTGGTAAAAGGCGCCTCGAGAGGGCAGATGCGCCTCGTCGTCCTCGTCCTAGACTCCTCCCAACGAGCCGTTACAAACGTAATGGTAACCAGCGAAGCAACCGGGATCGGGCACGTGATAGCTAACAAAGGCGCCGTGTGTGTCTCTCTCCGGTTCTGGGACACGCCCTTGTGTTTTATCAACTCGCATCTGGCGGCGCACGAGGGGCAGTGCGGGGCGAGGAACGATAACTACCGGGAGGTTGTGCAGAATATGCGGCCGGGGCTTTCAAGTGTGGACCTCTTGAACCAGTTCCACCATCTCTTCTGGATGGGCGATTTGAACTACCGGCTGACGCTTCTGGATTCTTCTCACAACGCTGCTGCTGCTGGTAATGGTGGTAATGGTGGTGGTGGGTCAGCGTTGGCGCTGCCCTCAGCTGTCTCGTTCCCCGCTTCTGCTGCTGCCGCTGCCGGTGCTGCCGGCGCCGCTGCTGGTGCTGCCGGTGCTGCTGTTGCCGCTGGTGCTGGCGCTGCTGCTGGCGCCGTTGCTGCCGGCGCTGGTGCTGCGGCTGGTGCTGTTGCTGCTGGTGCTGGCGCTGCTGTTGCGGCTGCTACTGCTTCTTACCGTGCGATTGCTGCTGCTGCTTCCGGTGGTGCTGGTGCTGCTTCGCGTGCCGGCCCTGCTTTCAGTGGGAGAGCTCTCGACCAATTAGACGATGACAGCTCATCGGACGAAGCTGAGGATTCCAGCAGTGGTAATGATGACGACGAGGCTGGGGTGGAGGCTCGGGAAGCTCGGGAGGTTCAGAAGGCTCGGGAGGCTCGGGAGGCACAGGAGGCTCGGGAGGCTGACAGTGTTGATGCCGAACCTCGGAAGGAGGCTCGGAAGAGGAGCAGCGTCGGGAGCTCAGGGGAGATTCTAAAAGGGTTTCTAAAGTCCACAAGGGGCAGCTTCAACACGATTCTCGATCTGGGCAGCTCGAGAAAAACTTCTTCTCCGGGCAGCAGCACAAAAGTCAACGGGAAAATGCCTCCCCCGAATAGCCCCAGTAAAGAGGAAGAAAGCAGTGCGGGAATGAGCGGGAAAGGAGGGGGGGCCAAGCCGGGCACGAGTCGCATGCAAAACAGCTCTAGTGGTGATGACGTGGCAGCAGGGGGCGGGGGAGAAGCGGGCGCTGCGATTGGTGCAAGCCTCCGGAGCTCCCCCGGGGGGGATTTGTGCAACGGGCGGGAGGAGGGGGGCGGAATGGGCGCGGGCGCGGGGGAAAGGGGGAATGGAGGAGGGGAGGGCGGGGTTGGAGAGGGGGAAGTGGTTGGGGAGGAGAGGAACGGGGATGGTGGTGGGATGGCTGGAGGGCAGCTGAGTCCGATGCTGGGAGGAGGGGGAGGAGGGGGAGGAGAGGGAATGAGAGAGGAAGGAGCGGCGACGCCTGGGGAAGGGGGTTCGACGCCGGGAGGAGGGGAGGAAGGGGATTCGACAGCGAGCAAGGAGCACAAGCGCGTGCTGAGCGCGGGGAGCCTGGCGCTGTTCCGAGGAGGGGCGGGCCAGGAGAAGGTCAGCAAAGATGCGGCGTCTCTGGCATCGAAGAAATCACAGGAGAAACAAGCGTGAGTGCTGGGGGTTGGGGGGCGTAAGAGAGTGGGGGGAGGGAAGGGCAAAGGGAGCACGGCACAAGTGGCAAGGCGGCATGTGCCCCGTCTCTGGCATCGAAGAAATCACTGGAGAAACAAGCGTGAGTGTGGGGGTGTGGTGTGGTGGGGGGTGGTAAGCGTGCGTGTGGGGGTGTGGTGTGGTGGGGAGTGGTAAGCGTGAGTGTGGTGGAGTGGGGAGGGCAAGGGGAAAAGGGAGGGGAGGACAGGGGGGAAGTGAGTGAGTGAGTCCTTGCAGTAGAAAAAACACTATTTGGAGAGATGGAAGTTAGTCTGATGGAAGGGTGGTGGGGAGAGAGAAGGGATGAGAGAGAGAAGGGATGAGAGAGAGAAGGGATGAGAGAGAGAAGGGATGAGAGAGAGAAGATGATGAGTCGGCGGAAGGTGGTGGGGAATGGGGGGGAAGGAAGGGGAGGAGGGGGATAAAGGTGGAAGAGGAATGGGGGGAGTGGAGGAAAGGGGAGAGGATAGCGTGAATCTGGGATGAGGGGAAGAGGGTGGGGCAGGAGAGGGGAAGAGGGTGGGGCAGGGGAGGGGAAGTGGGAAACTGAACCCGAAACCCTAACCCTTCCCTCCGCCCGCCCCCTTCCCTCCGCCCATCCCCTTCCCTCTTCCCTCTCCTGCAGGCGGGCAGCGGTGCATGAGAGCACATTGGAGCAGATCCGAAACAGGGAGTTTGACTCGCTGCACCCGTCCCTCCGCCCACCCGCAACTTGGAGTTGAACGCTCTTTTTAGTCGAGTCTGACTCAACAACCCACCCCCTTCCCTCCGCCCACCCCCGTCCCTGCGCCCACCCGTGCAGGCGGGCAGCGGTGCATGAGAGCACATTGGAGCAGATCCGAAACAGGGAGTTTAACGCTCTACTGGAGTACGACGAGGTACGGAGCGGTGCAGTGCGGTACTCGTTGCAATAGAATAACCATCTTGAACTGCATGTGCATGTGTGCATATGCATGTGTGCATGTGCATGTGTGCATGTGCAGTGCATGTGCATGTGTGCATGTGCATGTGCATGTGCATGTGCATGCAACTCAACACGCATGCCTCCCTACCTCACTTACCATCAACATCACATGTGTTGAGCTACCTCTCTCACATCACATGTGTTGAGCTACCTCTCTCACCTCACATGTGTTGAGCTACCTCTCTCACATCACATGTGTTGAGCTACCTCTCTCACCTCACATGTGTTGAGCTACCTCTCTCACATCACATGTGTTGAGCTACCTCTCTCACCTCACATGTGTTGAGCTACCTCTCTCACATCACATGTGTTGAGCTACCTCTCTCACCTCACATGTGTTGAGCTACCTCTCTCACCTCACATGTGTTGAGCTACCTCTCTCACCTCACATGTGTTGAGCTACCTCTCTCACATCACATGTGTTGAGCTACCTCTCTCACCTCACATGTGTTGAGCTACCTCTCTCACCTCACTTCCTTACCAATTCACTCTCATATGCCGCATTCCTATACCTCCTACCTACCTCTACCAATTTACTCCCATGTACCTCATTCCTCTACCTGTTCACAATCCCTTGTTCACAATCCCTCCTCACTACCTCCCACCTACCCTACCTCAGCTGCAGCAGGAGACTCGGGAGGGCTTCCACAAGTTTTAAGAATCCCCCAATGCCTTCCTCTCATCTCTTTCCTTCCCACTGATGTTTCCCCCACCAATGCTACGACACACCCACCCTGCATGCCCGCAGTTGCAGCGGGAGATCCGGGAGAGCCGTGGCTTTTACAAGTTCCAAGAAGCTCCGATTACCTTCGCGCCCACCTTCAAGGCAAGTCGCCGCCGCCCTACCTTGAGCGCAGATCCTGACTTGCAAATCGACCTCAGAAAAGAAAAGAAAGAAAGAAAGAAGGAAAGAAGGAAATAACGAAAGACGAGAAGAAGGAAATAATTTTGAAAGTCAATTCGAAATCCGTTCACACGTTATGCTTGAGAACGCTCCTTCTCCCACATACCCCTTTCTAGACTCATCTGCTCTAAGCCCTTCAAGCTTCACCCCTCCCCCACTGGGGCTCGCTGCCCGGCTGCCTTTTGAGTCAACTCAAAAGTCTCCCCCACTGGGTCTCGCTGCCCGGCTGCCTTTTGAGTCAACTCAAAAGTCTCCCCCACTGGGTCTCGCTGCCCGGCTGCCTGCCACCCTGCTGCTTGCTTCTTCCCCCACCTCTCCCACCTCCCCCCCACCTCTATAGGTAATCCGCAACGGAGTGGGTAAAGACAACAGCAAGCGGTTACCGGCGTGGCGCTCCCTGCCCGCCTCGTGCCCTGCTGCCCTAAGCTCCCCCCACCCCACCCCCCCTCCCCTCTCCTGATCGACCTTTTATAGGTCATCCGTAACGAAGTGGGTAAAGACAACAGCAAGCGGTTACCGGCGTGGCGCAGCCACATCCTCTGGCCATAACCACTCGCCTTCCAACCCCTCTGGCCCCCCCTCTGGCCACAACCACTCGCCTCTTCCCTCCTCACCTACCCCAACCACCACAGGTCATTCGCAACGAAGTGGGTAAAGACAACACCAAGCGGTTACCGGCGTGGTGCGAACGCGTTCTCTGGCGCTCGCTGCCCGGCTGCCACCCTGCTGCCTTTCTCCTTAGCCTCCCACTCCCCGCCCACTGCTTACCCCCCACCACAGGTGATTCGCAACGAGGTGGGTAAGTACAACAGCAAGCGGTTGCCAGCGTGGTGCGACCGTGTCCTCTGGCGCTCCCTGCCCGGCTGCCAGCTCGCGTGCACTCGATACGATGCCGCTCATGACGTGGGGAGCAGGTGGGGTTGCGGGTGGGGTAGGTAGGGGAGGGGACGGGAGGGGAGGGTACAGGATGGGACGGGAGGGGACGGGAGGGGACGGGAGGGGAGGTAGGGGAGGTATTGCACTCACTGCCCGGGCCAGCTGGCGTGCATCCGATACGTGAAAGTAAGTGAGCTTTCACTCTCATGGTTTGGAATTGAGACGTCGCAAGAATTCACTTTCTTCACCTGCCCGGCCGCCAGCTCACCTGCCCGGCCGCCAGCTCACTGCCCGGCCGCCAGCTGGCGTGCATCCGATACGGCGCAGCTCATGACTGGACCCGGCAGGCAGACCCCTCGCCATCAACTAGTTCCTTCAAACCGCACTCCACCCCCTCCCACTCCCTCTCGCTCTCTGCCATTCCCACGCAGCGACCACAAGCCAGTGCTAGGAGAGTTAGAGCTCACCACGCACGCCCTGCCGGTGGGGTTAAAGCTGATGCCTCACTGGTGGCGGGGGAGGAGGGGGCGGTGGGTGCTGCGGGTGTTACACACAAGCTGCATTCAAACCGCACTCCACTCTCTCCCACTCCCTGTCACTCCTACTGCTCCCCGTTGCTCCTTGCAGCGACCACAAGCCAGTGCTAGCAGAATTCGAGCTCACCACGCACGCCCTGCCAGTGGGGTTGGACCCCGCTGATGCCCCACTGGTGGCGGCAGAGGAGGGGGCGGTGGGGGCGGTGGTGCGCCGGCTGCACCGCAGTGCTTCCTCCCGGCATGGTGACATGCGCTGGCACATTCAGGTGGGTGGGTGTGGGGATGTGGGATGGGACGTGCACGTGTGGGTGCGGGTGGGGGTGGGGGCCGTGGGGGCGGTGGTGTGCAGGCTGCACCGCAGTGCTTCCTCTCGGCATGGTGACATGCGATGGCACATTCAGGTGGGTGGGTGTGGGGGGTTAGGGATGTGGATGTGGATGGCACATGAACGTGCGGTGCACGTGGGAGGGGGGTGTGGTGTGGTGTGGCGGCGGTGGCACGCCAGCTGCACCGCAGTGCTTCCTCTCGGCATGGTGACATGCGATGGCACATTCAGGTGGGTGGGGTACGATGGGATGAGAGGTACGAGGTGGCACGCGCACGTGGCATGTGCATGAGCAGGTGGGTGCGCAGGCTGCAGCGCAACGCCTCGTCCCGCCATGCCGGGAACATGCGCTGGCACGTGCAGTGCAGGTGGGCGTGGGGGGTGGCGCTCCCATATGAACCTCCTCTCCGCCTCACCACTCCTCACTGCTCCTCACCACTCATCACCGTCTCCTTGCAGTTTGCATCCCTCATGGGTTCTGATCTCCTGTCACTCCACTATGACCCCCCTCTCCTCACCACGCACCACTCCTCACCGCTGTCCACCTCTCCCCACCACCCCCCACCCTCTCCATGCAGTTCTCATCCCTCATGGGCTCTGATCTCCTGTCACTCCTCACCACACCACTCATCACTCCCTACCACTCCCCACCACTCTTCACCCCTTTCCGTGCAGTTCTCATCCTTCATGGGCTCTGATCTCCTGTCACTCCTCACCACACCACTCATCGCTCCCCACCACTCCCCACCACTCTTCACCCCTTTCCGTGCAGTTCTCATCCCTCATGGGCTCTGATCTCCTCTCAGCTGATGCAAACGGCCTCTCCGACCCGTGAGTCTCCCTCACCCCCATGAACCCCCATGAACCCCTGTGAACCCCTGTGAACCCCTGTGAATGCCTGTGAACCCCATTGTCTGTTCTTGCTTTCCCCTTCTTCCCACATCGCTCCCTGCTCATGACTGTTTCACCCAAGTGCTATTTTCTGCATTCCTCCCCAACCCAACCTTCCCGCTTCCCCGAGCTTCGTTTTACGGGCCTCAAACTTCTCTCTTCCCGCCTGCTCCTCCTCTTCTCCTCTCCGCTCCTCTCCTCTGCTCTGCTCTGCTCTGCTCTGCTCTCCTCTCCTCTCCTCTCCTCCCCTCTCCTCTCCTCTCCTCTCCTCTCCTCTCCTCTCCTCTCCTCTCCTCCCCTCTCCTCTCCTCTCCTCTCCTTTCCTCTCCCGCTCCCATCTCCCCTTCCTCCACCTCTCCCCTTTTTCCCTAACTAGGTGCGTTTCACGGGAACCGACCAGCAGCAAAGCTGTCACACCAACCAAGCCGTCCAGGCACCTCAAAAGTCTCCTCACTCCGCCCCACACATCCTTTCGTCTCCTCTCTGTTCTCTTATTTCCCCCGTCCCCCCCGTCCCCCCTCGTCCTGCCCCTTTTCCCCAGCTACGTGCGATTCACGGGCCCCAATCTGCAGCACAGCTCTCACACCAAGCCTCAGAGCCACCACGCAACCTTCTTCTCATTCCCCCGTCCCCCCTCGTCCTGCCCCTTTTTCCCCAGCTACGTGCGATTCACGGGCCCCAATCTGCAGCACAGCTCTCACACCAAGCCTCAGAGCCACCACGCAACCTTCTTCTCATTCCCCCGTCCCCCCTCGTCCTGCCCCTTTTTCCCCAGCTACGTGCGATTCACGGGCCCCAATCTGCAGCACAGCTCTCACACCAAGCCGCGCTACAAGACACTGAACCCCGTGTGGACACCAGAGGTGGGTGAGAGTGTAGGCGACTGTGAGTGTGATCCGAGTGTGAGTGTGAGTGTGAGTGTGACTGTGCGAGGGTGCGAGGGTGTGTTGCTGCACACAGCTCTCACACCAAGCCGCGCTACAAGACACTGAACCCCGTGTGGACACCAGAGGTGGGTGAGAGTGTAGGCGACTGTGAGTGTGATCCGAGTGTGAGTGTGAGTGTGAGTGTGACTGTGCGAGGGTGCGAGGGTGTGTTGCTGCACACAGCTCTCACACCAAGCCGCGCTACAAGAAACTGAACCCCGTGTGGACGCCCGAGGTGGGTGGGAGGGAGTGTGTGAGTATGCGAGTGTGATTGTGAGTGTGAGTGCGAGGTTGCGAGTTTGAGTGTGGTTGCGACGGGGTAAGTGTGAAGGTGTGAGTGTGAGTGTGCAAGTGAGGGCACAAGTTTGAGGGAATCCATCTGCTTCTGACTGCTTTTCACGGTCACTAACCCCTCCTCCCACCGCGCTCTTGCCCTCATTCTCCCACACCAGGACATGTCGAGCATTGTGTTGGAGAACCTCTCGTTACAGTCACACGAGAAGGACTACCTGCTGGCAGCCATTCTCGACCATGACGTTACCAACCAAGATGACCCCATAGGTATGGTGTTGATACTGTACATTTCTTTACCCCGATGTTGTCTAGCTTTGAGGCGCCTCACAACATCACGTCACCAACCAAGATGACCCCATAGGTGCGAGGGATGCATGCATCTGTGCCCCATGCTCTGTGCATTTGGTAATAGTGGCGTTTTCAAACACACATGAATGTTATTTTCATTTCCATACATCTGCTGGCAGCCATTCTAGACCATGACGTTACCAACCAAAACGACCCCATAGGTGAGTGTGCGTGCATACGGTTGGGTGCGTGCATTCGGTAGTGTTGAGGCGATTTTGAGTCTGCTTTTGAGGCGACTGAAAAGCAATGTATACGGTTAGGTGCGTGCATTCGGCATGCGGTAGTATTGAGGCGATTCTTTAGGCGCCTCAACAAGGAACATCTGCTGGCTGGCAGCCATTCTAGACCATGACGTCACCAGCCAAGATGACCCCATAGGTACGTGCATTCAGCATTCAGTGATACCGTACATTCGTTTTTTTTTTTTTGGTACTTAATTATTTATAATAAGTACTATAGTAGGTAACTCTCAACTACGGTGTCACTCATTACTCATGGTCGTACATGATTTGGCCTCAAGGTGCATCTGGGTTCCGTGCCCTAGCTGCGCAGGTTTGAAAACCCTATGGCTGACTTTTTAGTTGACTAGAAAATGTCTACCCTGTCTGCCTCCTGTCATGCTGCCGCCCAGGCTTTGCAGCCTCCATCCCATTGGCCCGTCCCACCCAATGGCCGATTTCCGAGTCAACTAAAAAATGTCTATCCGATCTGCCTCCTATTGCTGCTTTCAGGTTTCACAACCATCCCGCTGGCCCCCGCAGTGCACGCCCTGAGAGCCAACAATGGCTCGCCCTTTTGGACTTTAACAAAATTCATCCTATCTGCGTCCTTGTCATGTTGCTTTCAGGTTTTGCAGCGATCCCATTGGCCCCAGCAGTGCACGCCCTGAGAGCCAACAATGGCTCACGTCTGAATTTTCTAGACACCGAAGTATGTTCTATCTGCCTCCCTTGTCTTGCTGCTTTCAGGTTTCACAACCATCCCACTGGCCCCAGCAGTGCACGCCCTGAGAGCCAACAACGGCTCTCCCTTTGTGGACTTTAAGGTGGAAGTTACACACAAGGGCATGCCTGCAGGGCACCTTCAAGGAAGCTTCCGGCTGGCGTGGGCTGCAACCAAGCACCGCAGCAGCAAGTGCGCTCAAATGTGAACGGGGTGTAGAAGTTCAAGTGGTCCATGAATGGGTATGTCGTCGTTACGGAGCAATTGAAGTTAAGGAGCAAGTGAAGTTGTATTTAGCAGAACAAATTGTGGAAGGAGCATTTGCTTTTAGGCATGCCTGTTATATGCAATGCAGGTAGTATGCATGGGCCCAAAAAATAGTCTTAGTATGGTGTCTTGTAGAGCACACATTATGCAGTGTTGTGGTGTGATGTTCTTAGAATTATGGACATTAAGCCAGAATACCTAGATGCTGGCTTCTTTTATCTGTTGGACTTATGCAGTCACTGACTGCTTTGCTTATATTACTAAATATGTACAAAGGTAAAACACATAAAGAGCAATCACTGGTACACGGCCCTTGTCTTCATTTGCTTGACAAAATTCCAGTATTCACACACACATCTCACCCCCTCGCCATGCCACGTTGCCATGCCATGCCACCCTTGACCTCGATCAGACTTTCAGTCAACAGTACTGTACACTGCGACACTGATACACACACACTGCAATGCCGCCGACCGAATGCTGATTATGTACGCGATACAATCGACGCGCGTGGACGAGTGGACCCACTGTTAACGTGACCAGTGTGGGAGGCAAGGCAGTCGCCAACACCGTCCACTGTGCTGCTGTATCTCTCGTCCCGTCCGTCCCGTCCCGTCGTATTGGGCTCGGTGCAGCTGTGGGAAAACATTTGCCCTGCCAGACAATCACGCGGTGGTGGCGATGGGGTGGGGGGGAGGCGAACGGGGCGAAAACATTCTACTGTACGATACGGGTTACTTGTCCTACAGTATTCCTGCCACGTCGCACTCAAATTGGAGTTGATTGGAACGAGGCCTTTTTTTGCAGGGTGCTGTGCCCCTTTTTCTCTGCAAATCAGGGTGGATTGTTTCCGTCAAGCTGGATTAATCCGGATGATCCTTGACTACGTTGATCCACTGACCATGTTGGTTTGTTTCCTACGCGGCTAGCTGGGTTCAAGATTGGCTGTGGAGGAGCTGCTCCTTGAAGAGCTAGAGTATCACCCAGTACCCACGCGCCCTCTGAAAATTTGAGATTCTACTTCCGCACCGAAGAGCTATTGCGTCAACTCGCCCCAATCCTGCCTGCTGTCTGATGCTCGGCTAAGTAAAAGAGTCGAGTCGTCTTCAGGACGAGAGATGCGAATGGAAGGGGGAAAGTGCGGGGATGGGATTAGGCCAAAGCGTGCTTGGCTGTGTGTGGTGCAAGTTCAGCTTCGATCTGTGTTTCATAACACGACCCCACCTGGTACACCCAGAGACCCTGCCTCTATATCAGGGGAGAAGCTGGGTAACCTGATATGAAGTATATAAACAGCCGTGTACACCGAGCTTGCCCGTTTTCTTGGGAAGAAGTTGAGTCTACCGTACACGTAAGCATTCTGGACGGCGACTCGACTTTGGGTGTGGTTTGGATGGACTCCATCCCGACAGACGACTCTTCTTTGCTGGGCTGGTGCCCAAAATTTGAATTCTGCTGCGTTGGTGGCTTGGCTTGGTCGTTATGGAAGATCGCATCGAATTTCCTCGATTTCCCTCTTGCACTGCGTTCCTCATTGAAGCGGCATCCAAGGAAGTTTTCTGGAAAAACACCAGTCCCCAACGTGCTTTCCCCTTATCCGTGAGTTGCGCACCGACGTCCAGCACACACGGAAGAAGAAACCGTTACAGAACCAGATGAAGCCAGTCAGGTCTTTGACAGACTCATTCCCCCCCCCGACCCGAGTCCCTGCGATGCAGCCTCTCCTAATTTTCCGTGTGTATTTATGAGAGACTCTTTTCCATCCTGAGCTCGACGCAAGTACCAGCGGCAGGAACGGCCGTCGCAGCAGGAGTCGACATGACTTTACCTCCCTTTCCGAAGCTGCCAACCGGCAACCTCCTTCCTCTCATCCAGGCTGGACACGTGGCATCCATCTGGCACGACGTGCTGCTCACGCCGCCGCTATTGACGCAATCATCCTCTCCGCGTTTGCAGGCATCTCCGTTTCTAGCTGCTAGTAGTGCTAACGAATTGCTCTTTCCATCACCGGCCGCGGAAACTGAGAGCGACGATTTTGGGGGGAGGTATGCGGCGAACGATGATTACGTGTCGCTTGCCGCGTTCACCTTCGTCTGCACCTCCTCAAGAACCGCCAGCACGGATCACGCCGCCGCTAATCGCGGCGGAAGTCATTTCCCTCAGAGCGCTCGCGCACATCGGAAAAACAGTCTTGTAAAATTCAAGAGCGAAGCGCGAATTTCCACCTCTCCCCGCTCGCTTTCTCCCCGCTCCCTTTCTCCCGACTCGCTTTCTCCCGTCTCGCTTTCTCCCCGCGCGTCGCGTCCCGCCTTGCCTTGCCAGCGGCTCGAACTAGACGGCTCTTTGAGCCCCGACGACTCCGCGCCGCGCCCATGGAATCTGGGAATCATGCCTCAGACGTGCGTGCTCTCCCCCATCGCCGCTCAGCCGTCAGATGTCGCGACGGACGCCAACGTCTCACCGCCATCGTCCCCGTTAGTAGCTTCCGCAGGCCCCGGATCGCCGCGCGAGTCAGGCGACTCGGCGTTCCCCGTAATTTTCGACAACGCGCCGATCGAAGCGGTGGAAATCGGCACCCGGCAGCGCGAACCCGGGGAAGCGTACCCGGTGCTTCCGCTCCTCGCGCAGCCCGTCCGGCTTCACAACGAGACGCGCTCGGAAGTTTCGTGGAAGCTGGTGGTTATCGCGATCGACGACCCGTTGGTCGCTGCCCGCCGGATGGACGTGGTTTCACGGAAGCTTCTGCCGATGGTGCGGAGGTGGGTTCGCGAGTCGGGTTTCGCGTCACCGCCACGTCCGCAAAGGGAATCGTCAAGACAGGGTGAGTTCGTTCGGCCACGATATCAATCCTTTTCCCCCTTATCAAGAGTTTAGGGACTTCGCGGCAAAGTTAAGGACATAATGGTACTATACTTCTAGTGGAAGATTGGATCTTTGGCAGCGAGACCGCCTCTTCCTCTCTTGATGTCGCGATGCCTTCACCGGCGGTGTGACCCCTCCCCGTGTCCAATCCGTTCCCCCCGTCCGCATGCCTTCCCCTTCCCTTTCCCCTTCTCCTTCCCCTTCCCCTTTCCCCTAACCTTTCCTCCTCCCCCATGTCCCCTTCCCCCTTTCCCCTTCGCCCTTTTCCGCCCCCCAAGCAGAAACAAAGCCTTCGCCTGCTAGTCCGTCGCGCGACCCTCTCTCATCTCCCGATGTGGCGTGCTTGTGGGACGAAGCTGCTCAGAAGGCGCGCACAGTGATCACCGAGTCGCACTACACGTGGAAGGTTCTCGGAAGCGCCCTCCGCCGACCGACCTTGCAGCGGAGAGGCCACGTGCACGCGCACGCGCTGCGAGCGTGGCAAGAGCGGGATAAGATCCTTGACAGCTTCAGCAACGCGACCCTCAGTAGCGAATCAGCCGCGAAAGGCAGCAGCAGCAGCAGCAAGCGTAAGGTTAGTTTTGCGACCGGTTTTAGAAGCGGAAGGCTCGGCTCTATTGGTACTATTAGTAGCGGCAGCGGTTTTTCCGAGTTGGATTTTGAGTCAACTCAAAAGTCAACTACTCAAAAGCCAACTCTCTCAAGAAGCAGAAGGTTCGGCTCTATCGGCTCTGTTAGCAGCAGCGGGTTTTCCGCCGAGGCAGACGGGATATTCTGCGAACCAATCTGGAAAGTTGCGAAAGATTCTGAGGAGGAGGTGTTTCGTAAGGGCGACGCGGGAAGTGGTGGTAACTCTGTGTGGCTACTTATCCCTCGTTTTGGGAAGGAAGCGGAGAAAGCAGCTTGTAGTAAGTCGCGCGCGCTTTCCGCAACTTCCGCCGCCTCCGCCGTCTCCGCCGCCTCGATTACCGAGTCTAACGGGTGTAGTAGCCGTCTCGAAGCGGCTGCAGCAGTGGCTGTCGCTCGCGTGAATGCTTCCGCGAGTGGCGCTGCCGCGGCGCGTAAAGTTTCCGGTAGCAGCGTCAGAGGCCATAATCGCCGCGGTTCGTGGGGTGGCGAACGGAGCTATACCGTCGGCAGCGGCGGCAGCAGTGCGAAAATCTGCGAATCGCCTGTGTTACCATGCGAACAGAGCGGCAGTAGCAGCAGCAGTCTCCGCAGCAGCAGCGGCAGCACTAGTGGCGACAGCTGGCGACGGTTCGACGCCGCTCCGAGCAGCACCGGCGAACCTTCCCCCTGTCTTTCCCCGCACTCCGTTTTCCCGTCTCCACGCCCCGGCTTAAAATATCCCGCCAGCGCAACTTTTGCCGGCGCAACTTCCGCCAGCGCAACTTCCGCCAGTGCGACTTCCGCCAGCGTGGCTTCCGCCAGCGTAGGCCGTGCCAGCCCCCGCACCATTTCCCCCGTCCCCGGGCGAAACCTTCCCACTTCGACGTGCACGTCGCAGGACGATTCGTCCACGTCAGCAGCTGCAGCGGCGCTGCTGAACGAAATCCTAGACGCGCCGTTGCCGATGTTCTTGGACCTACAGCGAAGCGCCACGATCGGATCGTCGTGTATTGTGCAGAAACGCGGTGCGAAAAATAACGGCAACAGGTTGAGTGGTGGTGCTATCAGTGGGCGGTGGTGGGGAAGGGAGGAGAGAAACGGGGGAGAGGGGAGGAGCGGGAGTTTCGGCAAAAACGGTTCTGGTGGGTTGGGTGGTTTGTGTGAGAATAACGAACGCGTAGAATCCTGCCTCGGCGGCGCCGATGTGGGATCTGATGGCGATGGTGACAGTAGCGAGGGAGAGGACAGCCCGAGGCCGATGGAGCTACTGAGAAGGCATACCGTGACAACAACCATAAATAAAAGGGACTACAGTGAAGCAGCTGCTGTTTATGCGAACGCTATTGCTAATGAAAGCGCAGGTTCGTATGGGATTGAGAAAAGCGCGATTCTGATGAGCGGTGATATTGTACGGAGCAGCTCAGTGCTGGCCTTACCATGCAGCAGCGATGGCCTAAATAACATTAATAGTAGCAGGGTTGGCAGTGACAGCAGCAATAATAGCAGAGGAAAAGCTAACAGTAACACGGACACGCCTAGGAGCAGAGGGAGGAGTTTGTGGATGGAAAGGACTGGGAAAGTTCGAGCAATAGCCCGCATGCTTCCGCGCTTAAAAGTTCAGACACGGGTTGGGAAAGTGGCGGAGGGAGGGGACGTGGAAGAGGAGGGGGGTCAAGGGGATGAGGGGTTGGAGGAGGAGGAGCAGCGGTCAGTCAGGGGGAGAGCAGAGACGAGGCATGAGTGTGCGGATGGGGAGGGGGAGAAGGAAGTGGGGGGTGGGCAGGAGGAGGAAAAGGGAGAGGAGGGTGAGGAAGTGGAGGAGAAGGTGCAGGAGGGCGGCAGTAGCAATAACGGTACCAACGCGGGCGGCAGCGCCACCTCAGCGGGCGGCAGCAGCGGCGCAGCGGGCGGCACAGTGGGCAAGAAGAGTTTCCGGTACAGCATCATCATCCCGTCCAAATTCTCCAAGAGCGCTGACGTGGCGGCGCTTGCCAGCTGTCGTGAGGCCCCCAAGACCAGCTGGCCTGCCACTCCCCAGACCGCCCGTGAGGCTCCCAAGACTCTCTGGCCTCCCACCCCCCAGACTGCCCGCCATGCTCCGAACGCTTCTACGCGCGCACTGCCGCGGCCTCACACCTTGCAGCCCGAACGGCCCCGGACGGCAGAAGCAGAGAGCAGCACCGGAGGTGCGGAGAGAGTGAGAATAGAAGCTTCTCGGGAGTTTCCTAGGGTCAGGGGGTGCGCGGCTCGGGACGGGTGGGGGTCCAGCCAAGACCTGTCCATACTAGAATGGGCCAAGCCTCAACGCTTTCCCGAGCCTCGTGCCGAGCCTCTTGCCAAACCTCCTGCCGAGCCAAGTTACAATCGATGGAGCGATTCAGACACAAGCACTCCTACCGAGGACGCTTATAAGGAGGACAGGAGAATTACAGCGAGTGAGCTGCTATTGAGGGCTCTGAAAGAATACCACGTGGATCCAGAGGATGCCTACGCTGCAGCACTCACAGCAGTAGCCGCTGCTGTGTCTGCTGCCACTGCTGCTGCCGGTGCCGCCGCCGCTGCTGCAGCTGCTGCTGTGAGTTACTCACAACCAAGGGAGGCGGCAGCAGCGGCTGCTGCGGCTTCCGCTGCTGCTGCTGCTGCTGCCGATGCTGCTGCAGCTGCTGCTCTGATCGCTCCCAGGGAGTCTGTTGCTCGTGCCGTTGCTGCTGCTGCTGCTGGTTTATCAGACCCGGGTGACAATAACAGCCCTTCATGTGACCGTTGTTCTGGTAGCAACTGCTTGTGTCAGGGGGGTAAGGAGAGTAGTCCTGGTGGCAAGGAGAGCAATAGTAAAGGTAGCAGGAGCAGTGGTAAGAGCAGCAGCAAGGCCAACAGCAAGGGCGGCAGTAAGAGCAACTGCAAGAGCAGCGTCAACGGTGACGTCATGGGCAAAGCAGGGGAACCAGCAAGGCAGATGAAAGCAGCAGCAACGGACAGCAGCACGAGTAAGCAGGTCCGATCGGATCAGAAAATCCAATCACAGGGAAGCAGCACAGGGAAGGGTAGCGAGGGGAAGAAGATCCGGCCGTCGATGAGCATGCCATCCGCTAAAGGCTTCACTGTCATCGCTGCTAAGGACGCCTCCTGGCGGCTGTCCAGACAAAACACTGCTGCAGCAGGCAAAACCGCCGTAGCAGCCGCAGCAGCCCAAGCAGTCACAGCAGTCACAGGAGGCGAGAGCAGAGTGGGTGCACTCACAGAGGAGCACCCCCCTTTACTTCCACCGGAGGCGAGAGCTCAGCAGGTGCTTCATCGACCAAGCACCGTTACCAGCGGAACAACCACCACCAGCAGAGCTGACTCCTCTCTTCCTTCTCCTGCCAAACGCTCCGCTCTCCCTTCTCCCAGTCCGCGCCATCGCGCCATGCCGCGCTCACCCCTCTCACCGCTCTCACCCCCATCGCCCCTCTCGTCTACCTCCTCCGCCTCCACTCTCTCGGGTTTCAAGCCTTCATTCAGTGGCGCCGTTGCAAACCCCCCCTCGGGTCGCTCAGTGCCGAGGTCATTCTCAAATGACAACCTTGCACCGCTCTCCACCGCTCAAAACCATAACCGGGCGCTGAGTCAGGCCCGGTTTGTTCCCCCGAGCCCACGCGAGCCGCGATCGAGGAATGGGAGGCAGCGAGGAGGGTTGGAAAGATTTAGCTCGTCTGAGACCCTGTTAGTGTCAGGGAATGATGGAGAGAGTGTGGGAATGGTGGGAGTGGCGGATGGTGGTGCTGTGACTGGTTGGTTCTGACGATGCGGGGAAGGATAAGGCAAGAATGTGGGGCGGTTTTGTTGAGTGGGATGATATGGGAAGCTCAGCTTAGGGTTGTAGCAGCCATGAGTCACGCGGGGTGCGAGGGGGTTGGAAAGCGGTTGCGATGGGGAGGAGAAATTTCTTCAAGATAAGGGATTGAAATTCCTGTGTATATGGATGAGTCGGTGCCTCCAGCCTGTGTTATTGGCGTTGATCACCGCTGGTTCGGCTGCTGCCATTAGCGAGGACAGGCAAAGAAACTTAGAGGGAGATCTAGAGGAGCTGCTGCAGCCGTTGCAGCTTGTGGCGTTGATGAAGGCGTCTGAATATTTAGTATGCCATCTGCATGTATCTGCTGTAAATATCTAACTTTTGACTGTTTAACTAGGCTAATTAAAATCGTAACAGAAGATTTTATACCATACACAAGTAAGGTTGACAATGAGGATGTCAGGTTGAGCCAGCTGTTCGTGTATTGACGGAGGAGATCTTCCCCCAAAAGCACGGTCGGCGAGCCTGGTTGCCCGCCAGTCAGTGGTGGCGGTGCAATTCGCGGTTCGGCTGAATTGCACCGTGAGATGCGGCTCGATGGCGAAGCACATTCCCGTCCGCCAACCCCCATCACTTGGACGTTCCCCTCCTCGCAGCTTGCCATGGGCAGCGTCACCATCTCCAAGCTGCCCGCCCCCAACACATCATCATCATGCGAACGAAACGGGCTTTCGTTGACGGAAAGTTGGACGGGAAATTGTTTCTGAAAGAAGGCAAGTGCGAGCAACCTCTTCGCCTGCGAAAGCTGCTGCACATGTCTGTTTTTGCTGCTCCGCTGCCACTTTCGCCTCCAGTAACCTAGCTTTTGAGTTATCCCAGTTCCACCGACACTTCACCTGTGGAACCTTTGCGTCGAGCATTATTACCGCCAGCGAGCAACGGGAGATGGAGCGAAACTCTTTTTACGCTGGCGGGCCGCCTGGATTCCTTCTCGTCTCGCTTCTTGGAAATTCCTATCTGACTCATGCTGAGAGCCGGTCAATGGCTACTAGTTCTCGACTGCGCCACACCACACACTCTGATACAGGGTGATACATGCGCGGCACGAAAGCGGAATATTTTCAGAAATGAGCAGTCGTGAGGGAGATTCGAACACTAACTCCAGACGCCCGCGAATGGCGCTAAGCACCATACTATGGCGAAAAGTATCCACTGCGTTTGGGTGCGTCAGAAACTATGGCGGAAGGAAAAACGAAAAGTGCAGCAGCAATGCGACCAGCAGCAGCAGCAGCAGCAGCAGCAGCAGCAGCAGGAGCAGCGGCAGCAGAGGCAGCAGCAGCATCAGCAGCAGCGTCAGCGACAGTAGCGGCAGCAGCGACAGCAGCAGCAGCAGCAGTAGTAGCAGCACAGTCTACGGCAGGAAATCGAAACTCTTCCACGGTCCGTCGGAAAATTGTGTCGCATCGCGCGCAGCAAGCAACACGCCGCGTCGCTTTTTGAGCTCGACTAGAAATTCCACCTCATTCTCCACCGCTCCACCAGCAACAAACATCAGAAAAGGCTTTTCTCCAAGCCCTAACTCCAGCGAGCCCCCTTGTGCTCTTTCAACTTGTACGTCGAGCGCGGCTCCAAGAGAATATTTATCTCCGACTCGGAGTCCTAATCTCAGCGCAGCGTCGCCACTCGCTGCCGCCACCGGAGCGGCGGCGGCCATTAACCGCCTGCCGAAGTTGATCGGATCGGGCTATGACGTGGCGTCGATCTGGCACAACGTGTCCATTTCCTCCAATTGCGTGGCTGGGACTTCCCTCCTGCGGTCCGCGTCGCTACCACCTACAGCCACAAATACTACCAGCAACAACCTGGCGTCGCCCGCTTCATTCTCGCTACAGCCAGCCACGGTACCACGCTCGTTAAGCGAAACTCGCATTCCTGAAACTACCACATCCCGCTTGGGAAGCAGCCGCGGGTTTTTCTCACCGCCGTCAGCATCATCTTCAACGTCAACGTCAACGTCAACGTCAACGTCAACGTCAACGACAACCGCCGAATTCACATTCGTCTGCACGTCCCCACCTTCCGACCCGCGCTCCCGTGAAGGATGCGCGTTCGGCGCGCGCTCACACGACCGCACGTCCGAGCGAGCCGGCGCCAGGTCCGGATCGCGTCCTTCCGTGTCTGCCGCGCAAGCGTGTCCTTCCGCGTCAGTCACGCAAGCGTGTCCGTGGAACCTTGGGATCATCCCGCAGACGTGCGTGCTCGGAGTCGTTCCGGCGGACCTTCCGCCACGCGCCGCGGAGCTGAAACCCTCTAGTACGGACCCCGGGTTGGTTAATAATGGCCGTTTTTACGAACCGTTACCGGATTTTTTTGGCGACGCGCCATTGGAAGCCGTGGAGGTGGGGGGGAGGCGGAGGGGTTGCGGAGAGGTGTACTCCGTTGTTCCGCTGCTGGCGCTGCCCGTCAGGCTGCGCGGGGGAGGCGCGGGGGGGTGGGCAGGGAGAGGGAGAAGGAAATTGTCGGGTGGAGGAGGGGAGGGACGAGGGAAGAGGGAGAGTGAGGGAGCATGGGACGAAAGGGGAGGAGGAGCGAGAGGAGTTAGTGAGGAGGAGGAAGAGATGGGTGAGAGGATTGAGTGTGCGGCTAATTCAGGCTTGGAGGTTTCCTGGAAGCTGCTCGTGATAGCTGCAGACGACCCTCTTGTCGTTGCAGGAAAACTCAAGGAAGCTTCCCAGAATCTGCTCCCTGCTGTTTGCAGGTGGGCCGAGGCAGCACACTTCACAGTCCCCTTCCCCGGAACGATGCTGACGTCAGCAGGCTGCTGCATCGAGGTGACGCCAGCAGGATGCAGCACAGGGAGAACATCTCCTCGAGATGATCCGAACGAGCACTGCTGCTACAGTAACGGAAGCGGACTGCGCGACAGCTGGCAAGAGAAAGCTTCCAGGAAGGCGGAGGCGGTGGTTCTCGACGCCCACCGCGTATGGCGGATCTTGTACGGCCCGCCGCTCATGCGCGCCGCCCGCGGGCGGCAGGAGGGTCGGCAGGAGGGTCGGCAGGAGGGTCAGAGTTGTCTTTTCCCGCATGCCGCCCATGGGCAGCAGGAGCGGCGGCGGCTCGATGGCAAAGCTGAAGAAAGAAGGAAATCACTTTTGAGAATTCTTAAAACTGAAGAAAGAAGTGGGCGGCGGCTCGATGGCCAACCACTTGTTTGCGCCGCTGGGCGGCCGCCACTCGTGCGTGGCACATTGGAACATTGCACGGGTCATCAGGGCGAGGGATGCGTGGAAAGCAAGGAGGAGAGAGGGGTGCCGTGGGGGGTAAACTCTGGCGAGGGGCGGAGAGGCGCCTGTGACGTTCAGAGACAAGCATCGGAAAGTGGGGGTGCTGCTTCGACTCGGGAATCGGCTCAATTCACACAGGCAGAAGGGGCGAAGCGATGGAGGATTAGTAGGAGGGGGAGCGGGTGGAGGAAGATGTGGGGGAGGGGGGGGAGGAGGAGTGGCTCGGTGCATCGTGTGGCACCTGCTTTTTCTCCTGAGAGGACTTCTGACCTGACGCAAGTGAAGGGGAGCACGGTGCAGCATGCAGAACCCGTTTCGTCCCCTGGGCAGATTTCTGAGTCGACTCACAACAAGAGAAGCCGGCGGCTTCGTTTCCTGGGTAGACATTAAGAAAACAGCACGGTGTCAAGTGTGCTCATCTGGGGGCAGCAGAGCACGCCTCTTGCATGCTCTGCCGAAGCGGCAGCGAGTGTGGTGGCCTCTTGTACAGAGAAGCACACTTGGTAGCAGCATCTAGTCTCAGCAGTACGAGGCTGATTGGCCTGGCTGAGCGGCACAGAAGCACACGGCTATTGAGGAAACTGTGATCCACCACATCAAGGCTAGAGCAGCATCAAGGGTACTTACTCACTTGAATGCAGCAGTAGCGTCAAAATTTGGTTGAGTGGTGCAGAATCACTCCCTCTGAGTTGTACTCAGTTCAACATCTTCTTTACAAGCAGCAGCAGCAGCTAACACATTCGGATCAAACGGCTGATGAAGCATGGCGCATGGAGTGGCAGCTTGCAAGGGGAAGGGGGTTCAGGGGACGAATCAGAAGGGACAGCTGCCTTACAAGCAGCATCACGGATCAGTGCGTGAATCACAGCTGCCAAAGCAGGTGTGAGAAGTATGCACTCCTGAGTTCCCTGCCCAAGCAGCATCACGGAGTATTCACTTCAATGCAGAAGCATGCTGATCAGAGCCATCTACCAGAGTAGTATTGAGGGTAGGCACTCGGAGCAACAGCGTATTGAGCTGAGCCATCCGCGAGAGCATCATTGAGGGTACACGCTCAGAGCAGCAGCACATTCAGCAGCCTGCCTGTGCAGCATAAACAGCATATGATTTCCAGAGTATTAAGTTGTGTACAAAGATTATGAGCAGCAACAAGCTGCTTGTGATGAAGCCCTCCAGATGAAAATGTTGTCTCAGAAAGGAATTAGTTTCAGAAAGAAATTATGTACATTATATACACTACATTACACAACAAATGACATACAAATTCGCCAACTATCCTCCTTCCCTTGTGACGTCCTCCCCTGCTCCCATACTCCTCCCCACCACAGCATCTCACATGCTCAGCAGCAATTGCCAATTGAGTACAGCCCAACCCAAATGCTCATGCCAGTACTCCAAAACTTTTTTCTGCCCACACTGCTTATCCTCCCTACTGCTCCTTGTGCTTCATTTCTTTCACCAGCCGCCCCAGCTCCGGATCAGCAATCTTTGCAGTCTCCACATCCCCCTCCCCTCCTCCCACACTCCTCTTCCCCACCATACCATCCTTCACATGCTCAGCAGCAGCAATGACTGATTGCGGCATACTTCACACTCTTTAGCCTTTCACCCAACCACCCATCAGCCCACAATACTTTTCCTCCTTACTGTTCCTTTTGCTTTGCTTCCTTCACCAGCCGCCCCAGCTCCGGATCAGCCATTTTGGCACTCTCCAAATCCCCCTCCCCTCCTCCCACAACCCTCCTCCCCACCATAGCATCCTTCACATGCTCTGCAGCAGTTGCCACTGACTCCAACACCCCAGCATGCTTCACACTCTGCCGTCGCACCTTCGCCTGCTCAACCAAATCCCCCATATGCGCCCGGTTCACCAGCTCACTCACCCACCCTCCCCCTCCCCCTTCCGCTCCACCTTCCGCTCCCCCTTCCGCTGCCCCTTCCCCTCCCACCATCCCCTCTCCTCCCTTCCCTTCCTCTCCTGCCGCCCCGCCAATCCCCAGCTCCTCCCTCTGGTCGGCAATTTTCGGCGCCATGGTATTCTCCTTCGCAATCCGGTTCTTAGGCTCCACAGTCTCAATCCCCGACTTGTCCATCACCGCCTTTGTGATTCTACCGAGCGGCTCCCTCGCCCCCCCTTTAAGCATCTCCGCCTGCTGCCTCCTGTCCACCCCTTTCTCATCCACGCCTTCCCCCACTTTCACCTGGTCCCAGGGAACGCTTTTGGCGCCGGGCACACCACCACCGCCAAACACGCCGCGTTCATCTGAGGAAGGGGATTTCACTGCAGATCTGCCTGCTGCTGTCTCAGTGGCTGCCGTTCCATCACCCCCCCCATGCCCAGTGCCACCAGATTCCTGGGCGGCAGCATGGAAACCACTCTCACCACCACTGTCACCACCAGCACCAACATCAGCACTCCTTGCAGAGGCTTCTTCGCCCTTGCCCTGACTGGTGTGTGTGTAGTTCTGTGGAACATCAGCCTTGCTCCCTGCACCAAACGTGGCATTCAGACCAGACCCCCCACTACGCTCGGGCGCATGCGCGGCGGAACGCTCTCCGCCACCCTCCACGTCCGCAGCAAGCGCGCGATGCGCGGCTGGCGCTTCCACCGGCGCGACCTCCACCGTTGGCGCTTCTGGCGGGGCGTGCTTCCCCGCAACGCCTAGCGCCTCCGCAAACGAGTGGAAAATTTGCCCGACCGCGCCCGCGACGGTGCCCGTCGCGACTGCGCCAGTGTCGCGCGCGCCAGCGGCGGAGGCGGAAATGTTTTCCGCCGTGCGCTCGTACGCGTCCTTCGCGCCCTCTTCCGCGGAAACAATGCCCTCCTGCGCGGACTCGATGGTTTCCGCCGTGCGGTCGCGCGCGCCAGCAGCGGACGCGGATACGTTCTCCGCTGTACGGTCGTACGCGCCCCGCGCGCCCTCCTGCGCGGACTCGATGCCCTCCGCCGTGCGCTCCGCAGCCGCGGAGACTCTGAAACGAAGTGCCAAGGGGATAGGGATGGCGATGGGGATCAGAACGAAACGCGGACACCCTAACGTAATGCGAGGACAAAATACTCGATCAGCGATCTGATCCACAGATTATACAATTACCCTTTCTTGGTGCTCTCGCCAACCGCCTCCGCCGCTCCTTCCACCGTACCCGCCGCCTTGCCCAACCCTCTCGCCGTCGCTGTACCCGCCGCCTGGAGGTTCTCCTGCAAGTGCGTGAACAGCAGATACTGCCCCATTTATCTCCTCGCGCACTGAATCGCAACACGAACACGAACACAGCGTTGCGCACGCAAGAGAGGGAAAGAAAGAAAAGCAAAAACAACTAAACGAAATAAAAAGGCAGCCTCACCACAGCCGCATCCTTGGTCTCCGCCGCAAATCCCTTTCCCCTTTCATACGCCTCCCGCCCCGCCTCCCTCGCCGTTTCGCCCGCCTGCTCCGCCGTTTCCCCCGCCTGCGCGGACCGCTCGCGCGCGGCCTCGACGGTCTCCTGGATGCTTTCCAGGGTGCGCTCCATCACCCCGCGCGCGCGCTCCGCCATTGACTCGAACGACCCTTGCGCCTTCTCTCCCGCCGCCTGCGCCTCCGCCTGTGCCTGCTGCGCAATCTCCTTCACTCCCTGCGCGCTTTCCTCCGCCTGCTTTTCCGCCTCCTCTCGCGCCTGTAACGCCTTCCCCTTCGTCTCCTCAATCCCCGCCGTCACACCCTCGCGCGCATCCTCCGCTTTCCGCTCCGCCACCGCTGCTCCTTCCGCCGCCTTCCGCGTCTCCGCTGGCGTAGCGCGCTCGGACGCAGCAGCACCCTCGCCGGCTTTCCGGCTCACATCCTCACTCGACTCGCGCGCAGGTGGTTGCTTGAACTTCTCGGAAGCTTCCTTCGCCGACTGCTTGATCGACTCAGAGGTTTCCGCGACGCCGCGTTTCGCGGCGTCCCATCCGCTCGCAGCGTGCTCCTCTTCAGTCGCCTTACGTGCTTCCTCCTTAGCAATCTCCTTCGCCATCTCTGCACTTCGCTCCCTCTCCTGTTGCGACGACTCCCCAACTACTTCCTCTTGACCCGATCCGACCGTCGACCCGCGCTCCGCCGAGTCCACGTGGCCGACACGTGCAGCCTGGCTGTGAGCCGACACGTCACCAGCGGCGGACTCATCCTGCGTGTTGATCTTTTGAGGCGCCTCAGCCGCGGGTACATCCTGTGTGTTGATCGGAATGTCCAATCCAGTCTGGAAAGCTCCCTCGGTTTCTGGAGCCGCGTGGCCCATGAACCGCGTCGCGAGGTTCTTCAGCGGCGCGAAAAATCCGCCGCCGGAGGCGGACTCCTCGGTACTCGTAAGGGCTTCCTCTCCGCGTTTCAGCGCGTCTTCATGCCTGAAGGTTCACATAAAGACAAGCTCGAATCGGTGTCAGAACGTCTGGTAGCAGGTGGATTACAAAGACCGACCAGACCGAACCAAGTGCTGTCCTGATTCGTCATGGCAAGGACGGTCCTGTTATTCGTTGGGCAGCGACGGACCACACCGAACCAAGTGCGCCATTGTCGACTACGAAGACGTGAGCTGTACTCGTGATGCTGGGATCACGGGATTTCTTACGATGCTGGAAGTTCTTCCTTGCCTTGCGCCGCTGTGACCTCCTGTCCCTTCTGCGCCATAGTCTGCTCTTGCTCGTACTCTGCGGGATTAGCATGCTTCTGCAATCACAAAAAAAAAAAAAGGTTGTAATGGTAACTGTTACAAATGCAGGGGATGAACACAGAAGAAGTCGATAATGGTGATGCTCACCTGTGTTAAATCTTCCTTTTTCATGTAAGGCTCCACCTCCTCCTGGGCCATTGCCCCGGATCTGCGCGACTGCTCGGAAGCCATTGTAGCGAGTTTTTCGACAAAAAAACGTGTGAACTATAGGAAAGGCACGTGGAAAGCGCACAATTACGGAGCAACCAGTGCGAGTGTCTACCGATTCAAGAGTCGTGTCCGCTAATAAGGAGGCTGAGCCGAACATTGCGAGACTCCAGAAGAGGTGTGTGAGGGACGCCATGGCTGGAAAAATGCGGCGCGAATTCCAAGCAGAAAATTGTAAATTGTCGGTAATTGAGAATTCTGGTAGATTGCAGCTGGTGACAGGCAATAGTGCGTCACGCGTGGTGTGCATGAGTGCAAACTTGTTCACAGGGCGACACATGGTGAAATCGCAGCCTTCGAAGAACATCTATTTTCAACCGTCGATGCCTTGCCTCCAAGAAACTCGCTGGGTGTGGCTATTTTCCACCAAGCCAGGGCTGGGCCCTCGGGCCCGCCAAAAGTGTGGAGGCCGTCAGATCTGATTGCGGTAGTTTGTGACGTGTGTGGGGACCAGTGGCTATAAAAGTGGTTATTCTCCGCCATTTCGTGGTTTATTTTCGGATTGGCTCAATTGAGTGTGCTGGCACGAATGTTTCCCTCATTTGCGGGGACCACACCGCATCAAACAGAAGGAAGAATTTAGGGAAAGGTCAGAAAGAAATTGCAGAAGCAACACCACTTTATCTTTTGTTTGACATTACAATCCTTTTCTGTCACTGTAGCCGCATCTATCCTGGCCATGTCTCTTGAAAGGCGGAAGAGGAAAGAGTCCTCCGTCTGCCCGGAGGCAGAAGCAAAAGTTTAGGGTACAGTGAGAGCTCATCACGTCAACGTTCCCAATCTCGATTTCGCCGGTCAATCGAGACCGTAGAACTACGTCTTGTTGGAGCCGGATTCGCTTAAAGCCGGCGGCCCAAATTGTTCATGCTTTTAAAAGTTGACCAGAGGGAGTTTTTCTGGTGTGGGCTTTGGCGAGAGTTTCCGATTTCGTCTAGGTTCGTTTTTTTCGCGAGACCCAGCCAACCCTCGGTTTTCCCCCTGGTGAGTGAATCTGTCTTCGAAAGTCCCAAATTGCAAGTGCGTGACTTTCAAAAGCTTGGACACTCAACTTCGTCAAGTTTTAAAAACTTGACCCTCGCGGCCCGCAATTTGGGACGCGGGCTTTAACTGTGTTATTGCTCTGAAGCGTTTTTCACTCACCTTACTAGTGCCGATTCTCAGGAAAGTTGAGGTTACGCGTGCAGCCGTGACAGTCGCTGCATTGTTGGAAGACTGGAAGGACAATCTCACTACGGATGTGCTTCTGACAACGACTTACCAAGAGCTTACGGCAAAATATTACTCTGGCGCGCGGTACGGACGTCTCCAGGTCACCTTCTCCCATGTCCGAGATGCGAATTTTGTCTGGAATCAAGTTATCCGCCACGAATGCGTGAACGGAGACTACCTGGATCTCACCTGGCAGTATCCGGAGGACGCGCGGTTCATGCGGGAGCGTGTGTTGAACCCCGCGTCTAAGGAGGTGGTGGTTAAGGGGGTACTTGCTGAGATTACGGCGGAGCTGATTCGCCGCCTCCTGGTGGTGTCGAATTTGGTCAAGCGTGGCAGGAGCGCGTTCGCCAGCGGTTTCGGTTTTCATCGGACGGTTGATCCTGTGTCTGGGCTTGATACTGACCGAATCCGCGGGCTTGTCACTCCTCATGCTGACGACGAGTATCGCTGGAGATATTTCGTGGAAGACCCGACCACGGGAGTGCGGTATCTGCTTCATTTTCCGTCGCTGGCTTGCAATTTCTCCGGTGGCCAGCATATGACGCGGTACCATGACCGTTACGTCGCCCCAAGGCAGGAGAATTTCACGAACTGGAACCTTTCCGTCAAAAAGGTTCATGAGATGAATGGTACAGGCGGAGGAGCTCCTTTCCAGCTGTTGGTGCACCTTTTACCGCTTACCTTCCACGTTTTTCTTTATACTGACGGTTGCCTGCTCTCCTCCCCCCGCAGCTGCGTCCCTGAAAGCTTCAGATCTTATGAAGCGGATCATGAAGGACCCCGCTGTTATTCTTACCTCTACTGGAGGTGCGCGGGAGGAGTGGATATGCGTCCAGACGGCTTGCGAGAAGGTGCAGGGGAATCGGTTCGAGCAGGCATCTGCTCACATTGCATCTGCACGTCACAAAGGGGGGTTGCGTTCAGAGGGAGCTACGACGCGCGACAGCAAGTTTTCTCAGAAGATGATTGCTTTCAAGAAGGAGTATGTCACGAAGCCGGCGAAGTAGGGTGCGGTGGTTCCAATGTCATGCAGTGGCGGCGATACAGGAGTTCTGATGGTGATGTGTGCATCTGCGGTAGTGGAAGGGAGAAGGCGGCACTTAGCGACGTACCTGGTGTTAGGGGTCTCTCAATGTCTGTACTTGCTGTTTATGAAATGGTTGTCCGTGTCTCACTCAGCCCGTGGATGCTTGGGGCTTCTCGGAGGTTTCCCAATGAATAAGGCCTCGTACCTGACGATTCGCGAGCTCAATGTCAATGGGCTCGGCAGCAGAGGGAAACGGAAGCATTTGAAGGCATGGATTAAGAAACCACCCGACATCTTCGTTTTGGTTGACACGCGTATTGGCGCTGATCACGATTTCTGGAAAAAGCTCAAAGTCCCGCACTGTCATGCGATCGGTCCTGCGGGGAAGGCAGGGTGAGTGGCTATTATCAGTTTCAACAAGTCTCTCGTTTTTACTAACATAATCACGCACTGCTCAGGCCGGCTGCTCCAGGCTGATGTTCAGTGGGACTCTTTCTGCTGCACGATCCTGGCTGCTTATTTTCCGGCGAAGGCATGCAGGCGTCGACCTTTTTACGCTGGTGTGCTTGCTCCTTTCGTGTCACACTCTGTGGGGAAGCAGAACTTCATTCTGATAGGAGACCTTAACATGGTGGAAGACCCTTTGCTTGATAGATCGTCCGCAGCAGGCTCGTCTGGGGAGAATGACACCGTGTTGCGGATCTGCTCAGCGCATTGACTTACCGACGCTTTCCGCTGGTTTAACCCGGTGCTGAAGGAGTTTACCTTTTTATCAAGGTCCGCCAAGACCAGCTCTCGCATTGACCGGGCACTTATCTCTGCGCCGCTGTTGCCGTTGCTTTCAGATGCGTCACACTGCCGCCCGCTGAAGGGCCTCTCGGACCATTGGTTCAGCGTGAAAGTGTCCTTCAAAGTCAACCTGCAGCTTTGCATGGGGCCTGGGATATGGAGGTGCAAAGCAGCAGAGATTGGGAAGCCGAGAGCGGCGAAGGCAGTGGCTGTGGTTCGGGAAGAACATGAAAAGGGGGGGTCAGGCGATTTCACCGCTCTCATGAGGAAAGTGAATATGGTGCTGCGAAGGTATTCCAAGGAGGAACGTAAACGTGTCAAGGCTATCCTTCTTCACCTGGATACGGCGGTGGCGGTGCTGCAGCAGGAAGTGATGCGAAACCCTTACAGCTCCACCCTGAAAGAGGAGCTGGGGGTCAAGGAGTCGCAGTTGGCGGCGTATCTCACATCGGAGCAGGAGAGGCTGTCTCTCATGGCCGGGTTCAGGGAGTTGCGGGAGGGGGAAATGCCAGGGAAGCTGATGTCTGCGAAGGTTAAAACAAGAAAGGAGAAGACGACGATCACAGCGCTGCAATGGAAGGGAGAGGTGCGGAAAGACTCGAAGGGGATACTAGAGGCTGCGTCCGATTTCTACGCGGAGCTCTTCTCGGAGCCGGCTCCTGCTGTGGACAACTCACATTGGCCGACAGCTCCGGATAAAAGATTGGGTGAAGCGCAAACCCAGCTGCTGGTAGCGGAATGGTCGGAGGCGGAGGTGAAAGAGGCCCTGGACGGCATGGCGAAGGGCAAGTCGCCCGGTGCTGACGGCATACCGAAAGAGTTCTTCAACGTTCACTGGGACTCGCTGGGCAGCGACCTGGTTGGCTTCGTAAAGCAATTCGAGAAGTCGGCGGTCCTCCCTCCCGCCGCCCTGGAGGCGGTCACTGTCTTACTTCACAAGAAGGGCGCGAGGGACCAGGTCCACAACTACCGCCCGATTACGCTGCTCAACAGCACATACAAGTTAGTGGCGCGGGTGCTGGCGAACAGAATGCGAAAGGTTCTGCACAAGGTCATCTCGGAGGAGGAGTACGGTTTCTTACCTGGAAGAAGGTTGTCGGATGGTGTTTCGCTAATTGCGGATGTCGTCGAGGCGGCGAAGTGTAAGGACGCGGACTGGTACCTTCTGCTCGTTGATTTTCAGAAGGCCTTCGACTCTGTCTCGCGCGAGTATCTCTTTGGCACGATGGAGAGGATGGGTTTCCCTCAGAGGTTTGTGCAGTGGTGTGTGGGCCTTCACACGGGATCGACGACGAGACTGTTGCTCAACGGCTGGCTGGGGGATCCTGTGGCGGTCAGGAAAGGCGTGCGTTAGGGTTGTCCGTTGGCGCCCTATCTTTTCCTCTCCGCAGTTGAGCCTCTCTGCCAGGAAGCAAGAAGGCGGAAGCTGGGGATTAGTAACCCGTACGGAGATCGACTAGCGTACCTGGGGTACGCAGATGATACCACGCTGGTACTCAAGGGTAAAAGGCAAATCGGCTGGGCGGTGAAGCTGCTGGACGAGTTCGAGGTGAAGTCAGGTCTTCGGGTGAACAAGGATAAGTCCGCGCTTCTGCCCCTGGGAAGGAACCTGCGCAGGAAACCCGACAGGTCGTCAGTCTTTAAATGGGTACGGCCGAACGAGGCGGAGAGGGTCTTGGGGGTATGGATCTCACCTTCGGGGGACGCGTCGGTGACTTGGGAGATTACCCTGGTGCGCGCAACGGCGGAACTGGTGAAGTGGCAGATCCAATATTTAACCACGTCCGGAAGGGTTGCGGTGGTCAACGGCTACATTAACCCCATTCTCGCATTCCAGGCACAAGTTTACCCACCTCCATCTGAAATCTGGGCGAAGCTGGTGAAGCTGCTCCACAACTTTGTCACGGGTAACCACTCTACTGCAGGGAAGCACTTTGCGCTTTGGAGTCAGGAGTTGATGCTCAAGGCGAGAGGGGAGGGGGGCCTCGGGGTCCGCGATCCGTGTGCTGAGCTGGGTGGCCTGGCGGCGAGGAGAATTGCGCTGCTGGCGTCGCAGCCGCTGGGTTTACGAGCTGATCTCGCGCTGGCAGCTTTGGATGTCCCTGACCTCCAGGTTTTCTGGGCTCACGCGGGACTGATAAAGCAATGGGAAGGAAGGTGTATGCGGTGGAAACGGACTTGTGAGCTGTTCCTGGAGTCCACCTTCTCATCGGCTATCACCGTCTCCTCGGTGTGGGATGTGGAGCGAGAGTTGCTGCTTTTTAATCGGCGGCTGCTCTTAAATGGCAGGACGCCTGCGGGGAGGCAGAAGGCGGCTAAGGGCCTAAAGCGCTCAGTCATGGGTGATTTTGTCAAAGTCGCTGCGGACGGTTCAAGGGCACTTAAGGATACCCAGGAGCTCGAGAGGGAGTTCGGGGGTTCGGCGGGAGCGAGACTTGCGGAAAGGATTTTTTATGCTGCTCCGGATGAATGGAAGCAGCTGCTCCTGGCGCCTGTCACGGCGCGTGTGGTGCTCGCGTGTTCTAAATATGTGCTGAAGGCGGGGACATGCTATGGGATCTGGAGGATTGAGAGCGTGGAGGGGGAAACCCTATTCTGCCGAGCTGTCAGCTGTTTCAGGGGGGTTTTGGGAGACGCCGAGGAGAAAATGCGCAGCTTCCTCCCGCACGAGGTTGTACCTGCGGTGGTCAGGGAGGGCCGCTTCTTTGGCCCCGCGGGCGCCCCCAAGGCGAGGTTGTTGTGTTCGCCCATCTGGGAGGGGGATCGTCCGGCGCAGTTGAGGCAACTAAAGGAAGGTTTCAAGCGTGGCGGTGGGAAGCCGAAGCAGCAGGTCACCTGTGAGGAGTCTCTCGGCCGTCCGATTGACTGGAGGAGGGTAATTGGCGTCAGAGACTCAGCAGCCCTTCCTAACCGGGCACGGGATGTGATGCTCCGGGTGCACAGTCGCAACCTGCAGGTGGGGGAGCGGCTGCATTTCCTCGGAGCTGGGGTTGCATGCCCCCACTGCGGGGAGAAGGAGACGTTGGAGCATGGGCTGTTTGCATGTCCGCGCATCCAGCCAGTAGTTCGGGCGCTGCTGAGGGCGCTCCGAATGTTGAACCCGCATCGGAAGATAGAATCACTTGGTGACCTGGTTTTCAAGAAGGAGGGTACAGCTTCGGGATTTCCCGAGGCTACGATCACGTCTATTGCGCTTCACCGGATTTGGGTCGAACGGTGTGACGCGGTTTTCGAGCGCAGCAAGTTTCGGGCGCGGAGGGCATTACGGAGGATCGCAGCATCTTTCCAACTGCACGTCAGGATTTACAAACGTGCCAAAGCGGTGTCCAAGAGGCTTGGCGCCGCCCATCCCGGGCTAGATAATGATGAGTGCCGGGTTTTGGGTCACATCTTCGACAACACAGCTCAGCCAGCCACGTGGTCCAAAGGGTTCATGGCCATCTGGTCGAACCCGAGGGCAGCTTTTCGTCCCCCGTAGAGGATTAGGATGGGTACGGTGGGTGTTATCCCCCTAGGCCCATCAGCTACAGTTACGACTGCCGATGTATTGTGCACTTTTAGTGTATCTTTCCATCAAAAAAAAAAAAAAAAAAAAAAAAAAACGTCTTGTTGGAGTTGACGTGGAAGTGAAGCTTTCATGGAGTACTGCGCGCACTCTTCCCAAGCTCGGTCAGTCAAGACAACAGCACCACATCAAACCAATTTTCACCACTTCCAAATAGACGTAACCACACCTCACCACATCGTTGTGAGTCTGATGTGGTTTCTTGAGACCAGCCAGGTTACACCATTTCAGGTAGAATCTGAAATCTCAAAAGGTCAAACCACAAATCAGCCAACATAAGCGTGTAGCGGAAGTGCAGGCCTGTGTCAGTCGCTTTCTCAGGATTACTCCACGTCTTTCCGTTCAAGGTGGCCAAGTACGTTTTGTGCATGTGCTTTCCGCACAGCGCCTTCGACTGACGTAGCGACAACCCTTCTTTCAGGCAGTTATCAGCATCGTTTGCGCAGCCAGACTCGCGGTTAGATCATTATTTGGTCAATCAATTCGAGTGGACCATTAGAGGCCTTAACTTCGACGATTGTTTCAAGCCTACACATTCCTGTCTTGTCGTGGCAGTCTGTCACTACGGTGAGATTGCTTGAACAGTCGCATGGCTGGAGCCGTGTGTCCGATGAGTCCAGTCGAGACCGATTGGCGAACTTCAGCGGAGAAAACAGCCAGTTACCTGGTCAAACCGTCGACAGCACGCATGAACGGCCGCATGAACGGTTGCGGAAACGGTCATCAAGGAAACGGAGTGGCTAATTTCTACACCCCTAATGGCGGCCGACCACACGGGGACAGCGACGACGAGGATTTCCAGCCGGCTGAAGTCACCAGGACCGGATCTTCTAACGAGGATTTCTTTGACGCAGCGGAGGACGGGCTAGAAGGTTGGTGTTACGAACTTCCGTTCTTTGTCTTTCTGACCATTGGTTTTATAGAGGCGTTTTTTGCGTTGCCCAAGGCGGGCCCGAGACTGTTTATCAGAAAGAACCTCGCGGTAGCCCTACATTTTCGATAGCATGCGCTGTTGCGAAATCTGCGCTTTCGTTCCGTTCATTGATTTCGCCACGTGCCAACTGGCGTGCATTGTCAAATATGATAAGGTCTTATCTGATCACTATTCCGTGCCAATCCCTGCAGAGTATCTCAGCTGCGACGAGGAGACTTTTGAGTCGACTCAAAAGTCACCTTTGATCACTATTATTATTTCGTGCTAATCCCATTTCGTGCCAATCTTATTTCGTGCCGATTCCTGCAGAGTATCTCAGCAGCGACGAGGATTTCCACAACGTTCCCAGCGTCACCATCAACGGCAGCAGCCGAGCCGCTCCTGCTGCTACCGCCACTGCTACTCGCGGCCGGCGAACCTCGTACCGCGACCTCGTCGCGCGAATCCAGGAAGAGTCACGAAGGCGAGCAGAAGCGGAGGAAGCTCTTTCCGCCTGCACGAAACGGCTGAACGGCGTGCAAGCCGCGGTCGCAGCCGCGCAGAAAGCGCTCGACGAAGCGGCTCTGGTTTCTCTTCCTCCGGCGGGAACTGGCGACGCTCAAGGGGGGAACGATAGCAGGACCGCTGATATCAATGAAGCTGGAAACGAGGATGCCGGGTCGAGATCTGCTGACGGATCGCAAGACGGTCCGACAGAAGCAGATGCGAGTGAGAGCATCAGTGCAGAAACTGATGTGGCTGGGATTGTCAGTGTGGATGCGGATGCGACTGGGACCGTCGATGTGGAAGCAGACGCGAGCGGGAGCGCCGATGTGGAAGCTGCATTGGCGAAAGCGGTTGCTGCGGCGATGAAGCGAGGCGAGGAGCATTTGGTTTCGGATAAGGAGCAAGCGGATCTGGTGGCGCGGAAAGAGGCGGAGGTGTCGCGGTTGCGAGATAAGCTTCAGTACTGGGAGCGGATGAACCAGGAGATGGCTCAGAAAAATAACGAAGCCATTGGTAAGGAGGACAAGCTGACGGGCTGATTGTTACTTGCCTGAACACACGCCCTCTTTTTTTGGTCTGCATTGTTGCCGTCCCTTGCTAATCGCTGCATGATTACTCGTGCCGCGTCCTTCTTATACTTGAGAGTTGTACCTTCCCCTTTCCTGTTGTGTTTCCTGCCGCGTTCCCCTTTTTCCTTGCCCCTGTCAGAGCACATGAGGGCGCACAGGCGGAGGTGGAACGTGATCTGTAAGGCGCTGGGGGTGTCTTGTTTGCTCTTCTACAAAACGCTTTTCTCAGTTCTCTGTGGCGCGTTTCTTTCCCCCTTGCAAATTCCCCCCTTTCCCCCTGTCAGAGCACATGCGGGCGCACAGGCGGCGGTGGAACGTGATCTGGAAGGCGCTGGGGGTGGGAGCGGCCGTCACGGTGGGCGTGGGGGTCATGGTGGCCGTTTCTCACCTCTCCAGCAGCAGCAGCAGCAGCAGTGACGGTAACAGTAACAGCCAACAGTAACAGCACTACCGGTGGTATTGGCAGCAATGATGGCAGTAGTGGCGGCATGGACGGAGCAGCCATCAGCGGGGGGCTCTCTGTAGGTGCTGCCGGGTCTTTTTCTGCTGCAGCTGAATGAGGAACCAAGGGGGAGGAACTTTAGAGGGAAGTTGCCAGGATGCGGGATGCATGCATGACTGCTCAGCACTGTCAGGAGATTAAGTGTTGGCGGAGTGGGTTGTTTATAGAGGAGTGGATGCAATGCTGGGAGAGGCATGGTGGCAACGCTTTGCCGGGTTGGGGTCAGCAGATGGTTCTCGCCTTGGCCAAGACTGACTGTTGCAGAGCCTTTAACGACAGCCGCTCAAGGGGAGTGCACATCTGCTTGCTGAGAGATGTAACAGCTGCCTGCCTGCAGCATGCACTGCGCTTCCTTCGTACTTTATTTGTTGGTCAGGCTGGGAGTGGGAGATGGTGGATCGAGGTGATGAGGAGACATGTCAAGGGCTTCTGGTGCAGAGAGGTTGGTGCTGCCTATTCCTGCTCAGTACCTCTTCAGGTGGTTCGTTTAACTCTTATGTGTTCTTGATGAAGGTGTACCTATTCTGTATAGGCTGTTTCTGTGTTTCTTTAAAAAAACGTAGCTCGTTCTTGTTGTATAATTGCTGGTAAACGTGTCTGAAGGCAATACTTGTGAGTATTGGTAAAGCAGCTACAGTAGTACATATTAGGTGGTGTTCAACAATCGTTCTTTGAACCTCTGCTGGAATGCGGATAAAATTGTGATCAAGATAACTGGATATGTTCATATATATCCTATCTATAACTAACTTTAGGTATTGCCTCACGCAGAGTGAGTTACGGTATACATGAGTGGAGTACGGTACTGCGTTGTTACGGTATGTTAGTGGACATAAACACAGGGTTTAGGACAGGTGCCAGTTACCGAGGACAGCCTGAGAGCGATGCCCCAGGAGCCACCTTCCCCTTCACCTTGCTCCCACACCCACCATGCCTCGGACTGCTGTCTGCTGTCTGTGTCTGGCAAACCGCGGCACATACCGAACCACAGTGGCAGCCCCATTTCCAACACCACCGCCGCCACCGCCACCACCACCACTTTCCGTCCTGTCAAACCGACCCCTGCCTGTTCCTCTCGGCGTGACCTGCCGGCTCGACCGAAGCTTGAAATCTTCTGACCTCACATCATCATCCGTCTCTGCACTCTCTATTTGGAGAATCTTAAAGCTATCACTACTGCGTCCCGGTGCTGCAAGCAACCAGGCGCTGCTGCCGCTGCTGCTCGTGCTGCTGCAGCTGCTATTGCTGTCGCTCCTGCCAAACGGCCTTTCGCTGTTTCTGCAGTTGCACATACTCAAGTGTAAGCCGTTGCTGTTGTTGCTCCTGCTGCAGCTGCTGTTGCTGTTGCTCCTATTGAACCGCCTGCTGCAATTACTTCCCTTAACCATCGCTGACGCACAGCCAGGCTGCCCCTTAACCAGATCGCAATGCTGCTCCTCCTCCTCATCTTCCTTCTCCTTCTCCCCTTCCTGCTCCTGCTCTTCCCTGCCCCCTTCTGGCCGCTGCCACTGCTGCTGCTGCTGCCGTACTCTCCCCTGCTGCTGCATGTGCCACACCTGCCGACACTGCTGGGCCAAAGGAGGGGCTAGGAACCCTCCCACCCCACACAAGGAGCAAGCCGGGACCATTGCAGGACTATCTGGCTCCTCCCATGCATTGTCCTCCACCACACACCACTCCACCGCTTCCTCCTGCACCACACCCCCTTCCACCGCATCCCCTCTCACCAGAACCGCTTGATGCCCCCTCTCCACCACAGCCCTGTCCCTTCTCTCCTTGCCTGTTGCAAGCTCAGAAAGCTGCCCCCAAGACAACTCAGGCACCATTCTGCTGCTGCTGGGCAGGCTGGAAGAAACCTGAGAAAACTCAAGAACCCGCAAATCAGGTGCGCTGGCGCCATTCCAAGCCTGCAGCTTCGGCTGCCTTGCCTGGCCTGGCGGTTCTTCCCCGGTGCAGAGGTTTTCAAAGGGGGAAAGGCCGCGGCGGGCGCGAAGGGAGGGAATGGACGAGGAATTTGAAACAGTGCGGTGTAGATTGCGGGCAGATTTTTTGTTGCTGCCGCTGGAACTTTTGGAAGGTTTGACCCTGCCACGGAGTGTGGTTGGGTTGTTACTAGTGCGTCGTCTACAGTGAGTGAAACTGCTGCACTGTACAGTGTCGCGATGATGCTCATAAAGGGAACCACTCGAAGCGGTTCTATGATTCGGTATCGCTGCTGGTGATAATTCCGATGCTGATGTTGCTGGAGGACTGTGGCATGGAATCTTTGTAGAATTAGCAGCTGCTGTAACAGTCACCATAATGGTAACAGCATCCCTTACAACGGAAGATGCATTGCCGCTAGAATTCGAACTCGCGACCACCACGGCCGCCGCGTCTGCAGCAGAGCGCTTGGAAGACGAGCGGAGCGCGGAGAGGAATCGAGGGGTGAAAGGAGGTGGGGGACTCGCGGCGGAAACTGCAATTCCGCCACTCCCCGCCCTCTCCAACCAATTGAGGGGCTCTTCTGCAAACTCCACTTCCGCAACACCGCTCGCCCTAGGTCGGGGCGACTCTGCGGTAGACCTCCACCGGCGGAAGGACAAACGCGGAATTGTTGGCGCCGACAGCCCCGCTGCGCCGTCCGCCATCTCCGCCCCGCTTAGGCTGTCCGCCAGAGCCGACGCCACACTTTCCGCCAGCGCGCCCCAAACCTTTTTAGGTTCAACCAACCCTCTCGGCGTGAAAACCGGTATTTGTGCTGGCTTTTTGCTACCATAAAAATCAGATCTCGGAGTTTTAGGCGCCGCATTTGACCGAGGCGTTAGTGCTTTCCAGCTCCCTCGCCATCGCTTCGCTCCAGCCGCCGCGGAGGCCGCCGCTATCGCCGCCGCCGTAACCGCTTGCTCTTCCTCCTCGAGCTCCGCCGCCGCCGCCGATTCCCACAGCGAATCAATGTCCACCGCAGAAACCGGCGCGCCGCCACTAAGGCCATCCGACTCCGCCAATTCTTCCGCTGCTTCCGCGGCCGCCAGCCCCGCCGTTTCCCCCGGCCCTTCCCCCGGCTCTCCGCCCCCCGGTTCCCCCACCTCTCCCCCCTCGTCCTCCCCCACCTGGTCGTCGCCGTCGCCTGCGGGGATCGCTATCGCCATGGCGCGCCTCCACGACGAGGAGCATGTCGCGCCGCGACAATCGGCGACAGGATTGGCGTGAGATATGGCGTAAGAATCGATTTTTACGGAAGCAGTCGGAGCGAGTGCTGGAATCGCGGCGAAAATGGCGGCGGGGGTGGGGCCGGCACGCAAGTCAGCATGAGTAGTACTACGGGCGGGAAACGAAGGAGCGGAGGAGGAAGAGTAAGAAGCATTTCCAGTTAACGAGAAACACGCGGAGACGGAGGGTGACGTGGAAGAAGCCGATTGGTTAGCACCGGCGGGGTTAGCAGATGAAGCAGAGGAAGCGGCAGATGCGGCGGAAGGGGCGGAAGGGGAGTCCACCGGGGCAACGGGGGCAGAGGCGCAGAATACGGCGTAAGCGCTAGTAGCGGCGCGAGAGATGGCAGCGGAAGAGGCGATGGAGTGAGGAAAATAACTTCGTGTAGTCGCTTCAGACGAAGACGGTTTTCGCAACCCGAACGCAGCCTTCCAGCCTCTCATGCTCCGGCGGAAGAAGAAACGTCGCGGCGACGAATGCGGCAGCGGAACGACGGGGGGGTGCGGAATCGGAAGGCCGCAGCGGCGCTGCCTTGCGCTGCTCTCCGGCGATGCTTCTTCCGCGGCCGGTGGCGGATCACGGCTGCTGGGGGACGTGTCTGGGGAGGTGGCGAATGGAACGGCGGATGCGGCGGAACGACGGCGTCGGCGGTAGACGGACTTCAAGCCTGTTGACGACATGAACGTGGACGCCACGCGCCTCACGCGCTGCGCGACGCGGACTGTTCTTATCCACGTGGCAGCCGCTGCTTTTTTCACTCTCTTGTAACTCTCTCGTCCCACCTTCTCGAAGCGCGCCGCCGCGCTCTGAGTTCGGTAATTCGACATTTACGCGCCGCGAGGACGACGTGTTGTTCAAAGGGTGATACAGCATCAAGTAATAATTAAGTCGGCTTGCCCTGTCGAGGTTGAAGATCTCAAGAAGTCCCACCACCGCAAACTCTTTGAACGTAGGCTTTCCGTGGCGTTCCAGAAGAGATTATTCAAGAATTTGGTCGAGAGACATTCAAAAAATTCCAGTAAGTCAGGAGAGGCCATCTTCAGTAGAAAGCCCCAAGAAACGAGTTTCCTTCACGTGCGGGATGGAGCGAGCGGGAGCAATCAGAGAGGTTATTACAGCATTTTCTCCCCATGCGTTCTTGCCATTTTCTCGTCCTTGGGGGCTTTGCTACAGTACAGCACTCCAAACGGCGAACACTCTCTGAACATGTCGTTCGCGCCTTCACTCGCACGCGGCGATATCAGACTTGAAGCTGACAAGGTGTCCGTTACGTCAATGTGAGTCTGCAATGTGACCCCTGTGTGCAGTTTTGTTCACAGAGGCTGATGCCGAATTTGACTGCTCCCCCAAACGAACACGTAGAGCAGATGAATGAACAATACAGTGGGAGAGCACGAATGCAGGAGAGTGGGTCCTCTGAGCCATAGCTCAACTTGCTGATTTTGCGTATCGAGGAGGAATCGGTCTCCACAGTTCAGTGTGGAGTGGACGCGTTGTGCTTGAGGCAACTTGATGAGAAGGTTGAAACAGAAGGAATGTACAGTAAGTATCTGGTCTGGTTCATGGCAAATATTTCCTATACCCTGTATAGTAGCCAACGATGACTCGGGGATGATCTGACACACTCCAATACAAGCTGACCGGAAACTTAGACCATAATACTACTCTTAAATAGAATAATCACCTAGTTGGAGAAATGGTCGCAAATTGCTCCTAAGGTTGCAGCTATCAACCCAGCGTTATGTGTGAAGTATTGTCGGCGAATGTACAGACAGCACTACTTGAGCCGCATGGTATTGGAGCAAAATTGCGGGAATTCATAGGTATTACAAAAACTCGGCAGGAGCTCTCCCTGCCTCAAATCACCGCAAAGGTTCACATCACCTCACTCCCACTCCCGCCATGTCGCTGAGAGAATGTCTCGCCACCTCCCTAACGACCGACCGCTGATGCTTGTGCCTGCCAAACCGCGGCACATACCGCACCACAGTGGCTGTAGCACCACCACTGCTGCCACCACTCCTTGCTCTCTCAAACCGGAGTCGGTCCCTGCCTGATCCCCTAGGGGTTACCAGCCCGGGTTCACTAAGCTTTTCCACCGATGTGAGCAACCAGGTATCGCTGCTCCTGTCACTGCTCCTGCTGCTGCTACTGCTGCTGCTGTGGCTCCTGCTGAACATACTACCGCGGCTGTTGCACTGGTGGTGATTGTTCCGGCTCATAGAAAAGGGCATGCAGCCTATTGCTGCTGCGCAGCCAGGTTGATTCTCAGCCAAATACTGCTGCTGCTGGTCCGCCTCCTCTTCTTCTTCCTCCCCCTTACCCTCCTCCTTCCCTTCCTGCTCTTGCTCTTCCCAACCCTCTCTAGACCGATGCTTCTGCTGCTGCGGCTGCTGTCTGTTCGGATGCTGCTGCCACAGTTTCCTCTGCTGCTGCACGTGCCACACCTGCTGCTGATCTTGTTGGGCCAGAGGAGGGGCTGGGAACCCTCCAACCCCACCGAAGCAGCAAGCAGGGGCCATGCCAGGGCTCTTGAGCTCTTCCCATTCATCTTCCTCCACCGCACCCCACTCCACCACACCCCCCTCTACCACACACCTCTCCACCTCACCGCTTTCAACCACACACCCCTCTATCTTCCCCCCCTCTATCACACCCTCTTCGCACCCCCTTCCTACCACAGGCCTCTCCCTTTCCAACCTGCCTGCTGCAATATCAGAAAGGTGTTCCCAAGTCAGCTCAGGTGTCACTCTGGAGCTACTTGGCACGTTGAAAAAAGCTGGAGTTAGAGTTATCTCAAAGTCCCTCAAGTCAGGCGCACTGGCGCCATTCCGAGCCTGCAGCTTCGGCTGCCTTGCCTGGCCTGGTTGCTTCTCCTCGGTTTGGAGGTTTTCAAAGGGAGTGAGGCCTCGACGGACGCGAAGAGAGGAAGTGGATGATACTAAGTCTGAAGCTGAGAAGTCCTGGTTGGATGAGGATTTAAGGACACTGCCGTTTTTTGAAGGTTTTACCCTGCCGTGGGGTGTAGATGCAACTGATATGCACTCTACAGAGTCGCGATGATGCTCATAAGAAGGACTCAAAGAATCGATCTCACACACCAGTATGCCCGTTGGCGAAAATCCCGACGTTGCTGTTGCTGCTTCTGGATTTTCGCCTGAAATGTTCGTCGGAATCGCAACAGGATCTCGTACAGTAAAACCAGGACCTGCGCCGCCGCTGGGATTCGAACCCGCGACCACCGCAGGCACCACATCAGCAGCTTGTCGCCTGAATGACGAGCGCAGCGCGGAGAGAAACCGAGGGGTGGAAGGCGGTGGGGGGCTGATGGCGGAAACTGTATTTCCGCCACTCAGCGCTGGTCCCGCTGCGCTGTCCTCCAGCTCCGCCCCGCTTAGGTTCTCCGCCAGCTCCGACGCCACACTTTCTGCCAGCGCGCCCCAACCCTTTTTAGGTTCAAGAACAAACCCCCTCGGCGTGAGAACCGGCGTTCGCGTTGGCGTTTTATTCGCACTGGAGATTTCTAATCTCGGAGTTTTAGGCGCTGAAGCATTTGCCCTATTACTACTTCTAGGCGTTACTGCTTTCCAGCTTCCTCGCCATCGCTTCGCGCCAGCCGCTGCCGCCGCCGCCGTAGCTGCTCGCTCTTCCGCCTCGAGCTCCGCCGCCGCCGCCGCTTCCCACAGCGAATCGATGTCCACCGCGGTGTCCTGCGCGCAGCCGCTTAGGCGATCACACTCCGCCAATTCTTCCGCCGCTTCCGCCGATTCCGCCGTCGCCAGCTCCGCTGTTTCCCCCGGCTCTTCCCCCGCCTCCAGACAATCTGGCTCCAGCGACTCTCCGCACGCGGGGATCGCTATCGACATGGCGCGCTTCCACGACGAGGAGCGGGTCGCGCGACAGTCGTCGAGAGAAGCGGCGTGAGTTGCGGGGTGAGTTTCGGCTTGAAAATCGGCTTCTTCGAAAGCAGGCGGAGCGAGTGACAGGCTAACAGCGGAACCGGAGTCGGCGGCGGCGGCGGCGGCGGCGGTGGGGTTGATGAGCAAGTCCGAATGATCACGACGGGCGGAATACGAAGGAGCGGAGGAAGAGGAAGAGGTGTTTCTAGGTAATGAAGAACACGCGGAAATGCCGCTGGATGACGTGGAAGCAGTGGATTGATTAATAAAGCAGGCGGATGCGAAGAAAGCGGCGGATGCGGCGGCAGAGTCTTCCGGGGGGGCATCTAACGGCGGAGCGCTGCTAGCTGCGCGAGAGGCGACGGGGGAAGAGGAGGCGGAGGGATTGCCAGCGGCTGAGGAGGCGGCGGTAGACACGGTGGAGCGGGTGGAGCGAAAACGCGGTGGAAGAAGCGCGGAATGGGAAATGCGGAAGGAGAAACGCGGAACGCGGAAACGGGGGCGAAACAGGTTTATGTTAAAGAAAGCGCCGGTGGGGAAAGTACTCGAATGACCGAACCGACGCCGGCTTTCGCGGCCGCACTCTGTCGATGCTGCTGCCGGCGCGGCTTGGGGGGGGCTTGCGCATGTGACAGGGGAGGGGGCATGGGGGACGACGGATGATGCCGATGCGGCGGAACGACGGCGGTTGGCGCGCTTCGTGACTGAGGATGGCAGGAAGGTGAACGCCACGCGTCTTACACGCTCCGCGGCGCGGGCTGTCTTGATCCATGCGATAGCCGCCGCCTTTTTCACTCTCCTGTAACCCTCTCGTCCCGTCTCCTTGAGACGCGCCGCTCGGCTCTGATTTGGACGGTCCAACATTTCGAGCCGCGAGGAAGCACCTTCAATGCGATGTTTTGGAGTGTGGTACTACGTCGACTACGAGGAACTATCAGGAGAGATACAAAAAAATGTACTAGAAACAAATCAGGAGGTTCGTCCACCAGAATATATCAGTACCATTCTATGTCCGTCCGGGTTTCCAGAAGTAACTTAGGTCTCGAATATCGGTCAAATTCTTAGGAAACGAATCGTGTGAGTCAATCCAGGTATAATAATCACCGCTCTACGAAATTGGCGAAGGAGAATGAAAAACAATCTGCTACTTTTCCTTCAACATTCTGAAAAGCTGAGGTTATTTTGCTTCAGTGTTGCTCCCACTAAACCCTACAATAGCTTGTTTTCAGTCTAGCAAACGAGTGCGATTGACATCTCGGAGCGACAGTGCTCATCTGCTGCACCCTTCACTCTCATGCTTTCTCCCCTTCTTCCCTGTTCTGCTTCGAGCGGCCGAACTGAACTGTCCAATCCAAATGTGCCGCAGAAGCTCTTGACTGCGATGTACATGTACGGACAACCCCACGCACCGTTCTCGAACGGAAGGGAACCCAGCCCAGCTTCTCCTCGTGCGAATCGCCCCTCCAAACGACGATGTTTGCGTTCATGTGGTGAGGTGGGGTGTGGCGGAGGAGAGCAGCGAATGAGCATGATTCATGGGATGCGGGAGATGAGGGCAATTTGCGTGCTAGCCAAAGCGCGATTGACTGACTTGCGCATCGTGTCGTTGTCGTTGTGGGTCGTAATACGATCTGAGATCCACGTCAAACGGAAGAACGATTTGCAGTGCGTCAAGTGGTGCGAACACCTGGTCCGCGGTAAATTCACCGCGTGAACGTTTTTTTTTCCAGCCCCCCTTTATGCGTTTCTGTCTAATTCGACGGTCACTCAGAGACTGCGGGGCAGTAAACAGCCAGGATTCATTTCTGTCTAGAGCGGCTGGTACTTAGTGATGAGAGATAAGGGCGGGATTGGTATTAAACCAAGTTTCGGCTTTCCTGGTCAAGTGAGGATAGTCATGATTTTACCCTCTCTGAATCCGAAACTAC